ACATTATTCAATATTAAGAGGAACATGAGGGAAAACTGAAGTAAAATCAATGAAAATTTCCATTTTAGAAAAAATGTCAAGGCATTGCAAGAGAATGCTAATTGCTTGTGGATCGACAATCACTAGTGGAGCAAAAGCATTTTTGGCACAGGAACAGTGAGAATGATGTCCTTCAGTTATACCAGCTTCAGGGCTACTGGCATGAGAAACCAGAGAAAAGGAAAACAGATTTGATGATGGCCAGGAGTATCATGGGAGTCTTCTATAGAAAAACCTCTATCAATCACAGGTTGACCTCTGGGAAAGTGGGACAAAAGCAAAAGGAACTGGATGATGACCAAGAATATCACAGGAAGCTTCTACAGAATATCACCTGTCAATCAATATTATACATTTTGCTCCCATCCATATCTCCACTATAAAGAGACCCTTTTTTCACAATTAATCGGTATCTTGTAATTTACAATGGGAACATAAAAACACACCATCATCTTCAACCCTTTCAACTACATGTCTAAAAAAATGAGTCTTGCTAAAGGGTTGAGGGGTAGTGATGGGACAGATGACTGGATTAAGGAGGCAGCTTTTTCTGTGGCTAAGAGGACAGGATATGCTTGATTCAAAACTAATAGGTAGTAGGCCCAATGATCGTCAATTCTTGCACAGAGTTTGAATTAAGAAGTCACTATTTTGTTTTCAACCCCTAAAGGAATCAGAGGAACAAGCAACAGAGATGTTAAAAAGAGGGAAAGGAATTGTTTACAGAGTTCTCTAAAGAGTGATCTGTGTTGATAGGGGTAGGGAACCCTTTAGGTCCTCAAGTGTGGCCCTTTGACTGAATCCAAACTTCACAGGACCAATCCTTCTGGGATTTGGATTATGGGAAGTCTGGATTCAGTCAAAGGGCCACACTTGAGTACCTAGCAAGCCACAGGTGACCTGGAGGCCTCAGGTTCCCTACCCCTAGACTAGGCCCAAAGCAATAGGAAGGATATAGGAAAGCAAAAACAGGACTTTAGCTTTCTTTTTTCTCCCTTCTCTGGGTCTCTGCAAGGTCAGGTAGAAATTTACTCTATTACACTCTTGAAGTTGGGGCCAAGTCACCATCACATTTCAACATCTACCTTCCCAACTCACCCCCTCACCTCCACTCCACCCTCCTTTCTGTAAAAGCAAAGCTGTCATATCTTTCACTGCCAAGGCGATGGCATGGCCACATCTAATCTTGTTCTTTCCTTTTTTACCTCTTATTTTCATCCTTATTTTCGAGATTACCATGAGCCTTGTGTCAAACTTAGTGAGGTCTCAGGAGAGGTAATGATTTAGAATCAAATTCAACCCATTTCACAGCAATATGTCTCTGGCTAATGCAAAAATATATTTTGTTTTGTTCTAAAGTTGTTTTTTTTTCTTCCCTACCTCCGTCCCCCCAAAAAAAGTGGGTAAAGGGAAGAAAATATAGATTTTTTAATTAATTGAAAGTTAATTGAAAAATAAAATTAAATTTTTAAAAAGGAATCTGTCATTATTTTTAGGGTTATTATTTTAAACTTTTCAATTTAAATAAGTAACTGGTAGAAATACATATTTATTGATCTAGATAGATAGCAATGTACCCATGATTTCATCAGTACAGAGAACTCCTTGATGAGGAAATTCCTGCTACCATTTCAAATGTGTACCTTCTCTGAAACTTAGACTCTTACAGAGTTGCCCAGAGAAATGAGAAGTCAAACAGTCAGTGTGTGTTAGAGCTGGAACTGGAACCCAGGTCTTAGATTTAAGGCCAGTTCTCCATCCACTACTCTACACTGCTTTTCATATTGAGCAAAATTTCTCTACATAAGGCAAAGCAAGGCAAGAAACATGTATTAAGTACTTACAATGTACTGGAAACTGTGCAAGCACTAAGGATACAAATATAAGCAAAAAGAAGGATGGTCCTTCCCCTCAAGGAACTTACCATCAATGGGGGAATACAATACACAAAAGGGAACTCAAAAGGAAATGGGTGGGCATGGGGTTGTGATGTTTAACTCCAGAAAGTCAGTAGTACAATCAGGAGAGGAATGAAAGTTGACCAGCCCAGGTCCCTCCCAAAATGGAGACTCTGGGAGGAACTCACAAATGAGAGAAGGGGACTGGCACTGCAGAGGGATATTACAAGGTAAGAAGGCCATAGGGAGTGATAGATGTTCTAGGGCATTTAAGGTATGGTACTGAAGTCTGGGAAGTCAAAAGCACACATATAAGTCTTCTCTCCACCCCCTCCCCCTTCTTTTGAACTAGATTTGTGATTTCAGTGATATAAGAAACTGGCTAATGTGGAAATTTACTTTGCATTGTTCTAAAGGTTTTTTTCCCCTTCCTTCTCACCCCCCCAAATAATAATGAGTGTGAGGAAGAGAAAAATGAATTTTTGAATTGAAAGTTAATTGAAAAATAAAATTCAACTTTTAAAAAGAAATGCATTAGTATCTTAGGTAATTATTTTAAAATCTTCTTTCAGAAAGTTGCCTAAATAGCACCAAAAAAGATAATGGAAGCATTTCTTTCTGTGTATTTGGAAAGGTATTCTGGTACCAAGATATATATATATTTTTCCCTCTTTAATGAACAGGTATTTGCTAATAAAAATACTTGTTTCATCAAGAAACTGCATTTGAATTCCTCATGAGCCAATATAATCAATCCAACTATTACAGACCTACTCCGTACAAGCCACTGTGTTAATTGTTGGGGATGCAGAGACAAAACAGCAGCTTCCCTACCTTCAAGAAGCTTACATTCTACTGTGGTGTTTAACATGAAGAATCTAGACTTGGTCCTAAAGACAACAGGGAAGGGGGAGGGGCGGCACTGAAAATTCTTGAGCATGGGAGTGTGTACATAGTCAGACCAGTGCTTTAGGAAGATTATTTTAGCAACTGTATAGAAGACAGAATAGAAAGAGGAGAGATTGCAAGCAAGGAAACTAATTACAGATGATGAAGGCTTATACAAAGGCGGCAATCACGTGAGTGTCAAACAAGGGGACGTATGTAAAAAATGTTATGGAGGTAGAATTATGTTATGGGTGTAGGTGGAGATATAAAGTAAGGCATTAAGAATGACTCTGAGATTGTGAACCAGGCTGTCTGAAAAGAGTTCCCTTATCACAAGTGTAAAGTGTAGAAGGCAGCATTTAGAGAGAAAGAGAATGATCTTGACCACTCCGAGTTTGAGACTGATAGCAAATACAAGTGGGTATGTTGAGCAAGTTTGATGCCATAGAACATCAAGAGAAAGATCAGGGCTTGAAACAGCTTATAGAGTTGGGAATCATGCATTAAATAATTGAACCTATGAGAGTTAATCAAATCACTGAGGAAAGTTGCTGAAAGAGAAGAAAAGGCCCAGTAAAGAGTCTTAAGGGACAACCATGAGGCTGGAACACAGATGATGATGATCCAGTAAAGGAGGCTGAAAAGGAATAGCATAGGAAAGAACAGAGTCAGGAGAGACTGATTTGTGTCATAAAATTTGAGAAAGGAAAGAGTGTTGGGGGGTAGGGGAGTTAGGAGAAGCTTAAGAGATTTCAAGTTTAAGAGATGTCAAAAGCTGAGGGGAATAAGTATGTATTAAGCACCTACTATGTGCCAGGCACTGTTAAGTGCTTTACAAATATCTAATTTTATCTCGACAACAATTCTGGGACCTGAGTGCTATTATTATCCCCATTTACAGGTGAAAAAACTGAGTCAGAGAGAAGTTAAAGTGACTTTCCCAGGGTCATATAGCTAGTAAGAATCTAAGATCAAATTTGAATTTAGACCTTCCTGACTCCAGGTTCAATGCTTTATCCACCCACACCACTTAGCTGCTTCAAGCAGTATAAGGATTAAGAAAAGTCCATTGAATTTAGCAATCAAGAGGTCATCAGTCACCTTGGAGAAAGCAGTTTTGGTGAAGTGGTGGGGTAGGAAGCCAGACTGCAGGTTGAGAAATAAGTCGAAGATGAGGAAGTTAAAGCACAGTCCTCTTCTAATTGGCTATGAGAGGGCAGAAAGATAGAGGATGACAGCTCACATAGCTCTCTAAAGCAAAGATTTTATTTAAAAATGGAAGCCTTTTGTAAAGTCATGCCAGTAAAACTAAATTTGCTCTTCCATGGGTTGTGATAGATGAAACAAAAAAAAATCCCCATTCATTCCTCATTACAAATTCAAATTACCCCCAAGAACTCTTGTAGAATCTGAAGGGCTGCCTAAAGAGGCAGGAAAAATGTACAAACAGAACAAGTGCATTTAAAGTAAGCTTTCTCCAAATTCCAGATTTGTAAACATTTGTAAACCATCAAAGCAAAATTTGAGCTGTGTGCTTAAGTGCAGCCAATGGCAAAAGTAATGCATACAATTTGAAACCAAGAAAAAAATTCACATGTGTAACTGTGCATCTACTTTTGCATCTGTGATATTTGATGACTGACTTATAGCCACAGAGAAAAATTCTTAGCTATAAAATACTATATTTGCCTGTAAATAATCACACCCATGATTTTAGAGTGGCAAAAAGGTATAAGCCTGACCTGACTTTCTGATTCACTTTGCCTATGCCTTTCCTATTACTGTAGATACCAGAGGTCATCTGTTTTATTGTTTTTTTTTTATGTGAGGAAATTGGGGTTAAGTGACTTGCCCAGAGTCACACAGCTAGGAAGTATTATGTGTCTGAGACCGAATTTGAACTCAGGTCCTCCTGACTCCAGACCCAGTACTCTATCCACCGCGCCACCTAGCTGCCCCGGTCACATGTTTTATTACTGGCTCTTTCTTGAATTTTATCTATTGTAAAATTCTGGGTAGCTCTCATGCTATTCTTCTAACTAGCCTGGTAAATGTACACAGCCACTTTCCTTTTTTCCCCTTTCTTTTTAAATTTAAAGTACTTTTTATTGGATTTGCAAGACTTTGGACATATACATTTCTTTTTTTTTTTGATGTCTTTTGTCCTTATGTCAGTTATTTTGGGAAAAGATGGATGAGAAAGGATCCTCCTCTACCTCCATGTTGAAACCTTGTACCAGAAAAACAACAAAGCAAAAAGAACTGATACAATGACCACATTTGGTAATGTATACAACAATCTGCCCTTATAGTCCCTAGCCTCTGCCATAACGAGGTAAGTATGTTTTATTATCTGTTTTCAGGGGCCAGATTTGGTTTCTCAGTTACTCAGTCTGGATCTCTTTAAGTGATCATTTCATTTACACTGGTGTAGCCATGATATACACTACTCTTTCAGTTTTGCTCCTTTCACTCTTCATCAGTTCATTCAAATCTTCCCATGTATCTCTAGTAATGGATAGAAATGACCAGTAAGATTCCAGACCTTAGATCATGTGAAACACCAGCCTGCAACAATACAAGTGGATTCTTAGTGAGCCTGCTTCCAGAAATATGGAAGCCTCTCCATGGAGGAGAGGCTTTTTCCCACCTCTATTCAGAGTACTACAGGTATAAAGTGTTTATTGTGTCCTACTACATCATGATGAAAAGCTTCTTAACAGTCAGCTAAGTTAGAACTGAGTATGCACACAAAAGGTTAAAACAAATGAAATCTCTTTTCACTTACCTAGGCAGGTGGGCAAGGGGGTCCCCAACCTAGCAGCTCACAGCACTCCTTACCCACAGCAATCAAAATGGATTTCTGGTGAGACTTCTTCCAGAATGTATCATGGAAGAGTGCTGTGAGCTGCTAGGTTGGGGACACCCTTGCCTACCTAGTCATTATGTGGCTGTATGTGAATTCTTTTGTATCTTTGTATCTATTCTCTCTTGAGAATAGGTGAATGAATATTGGAGACAGACTGGATCAAATTGTGACCTTGTGATCTTTGAAAGGCTGAGAAAGCCACCAGAGGTCCAGCAATAGGAATCTAGAGCAAAGTCTACAAGTAGCTACTGAAGCCAAATCTATGGAGAAGCCAGCCTGAAGAAGAAACCAGCTTGACCCATCCCAGTTCCTTGACCCAACTCAGTTCCTAAGACATCAATCCCCAGATGAAAAGACTGGTCCATCAGCTATGCTAGACTCAAAAGTGAACATGATGGAAGGAATGTTTGTAGAAAACACTTAAGTTTGAACTTACTTTCCTCAGGGACCAAGATGGTAGAGTAGAATGTGTTCTCTACATAGGAGTTTTTTGTACTTCAGTTCTTACTGTATATTCTCAGTAAATATCCCTTTGCAAAAGCTAATTGATGTTCATTGGTTAACTGATATTAAAGACAGAACAGCTAGTCTGTTGAGACTGGTGAGATGTTACCTGGCATTTGATATTGGGGAAGAGGAACAACACACTGGATGAGGGCTTAATTGCAGTTGTACTTAGAAAATGTCCCCAATCCATCAGGGTTAACCCTAGAACCATGAGGGGAGATATAGTAACTAAGATTTACGGACCTAACATGGCAGTTCAAGTAGGGATTGAGACAGTGAGTTTAATGCCTATGTACTACATTCTGAATTCCTCATAATCATCATATCTTTCTGCACAATTACATTTCATTGCATTTATAACCATTGTTGTTTAAGCTAGTCCCCAATTAATGGGAACCCACTCTGTTTCCAGTTCTTTGCTATCACAAAAAAAGTGTTGCAAATAATATTTTCCTATATATTGGACCTTTGTTTCTATCTTTAACTTCTTGGGCAATCACTTTGCTGTTGTCCACTTGTGTCTGACTCTTCATGGGGTTTTCTTGGCAAAGATACTGGAGTAGTTTGCCATTTCCTTCTCCAGTAGATTAAGGCAAACAGAGGTTAAGTGACTTGCCCAAGGTCACACAGATAGTAAGTGTCTGAGGCCGGATTTGAACTCAGGTCTTCCTGACTCCAGGGCCAGTATTCTATCCACTGGGCCACCTAGCTGCCTCCAAGACTTTCTTACCAGTCCCGTTTTTGCTATCCTTCCATCCCTGGTTGTGAACTTGTCATTCTTATAGTTCAAATTGTAGGACAAATCAACAAATCCTGTCCTGAAACACTATTTTCTCAACCATCTACTCACTTCCCTAATATTTTTCTAAGTCTTTGCCTTCAATTGACAAAAGTGATGAAAATGCTATTTGTTTGTTAAGGGCTTGGTTCTTGCCCAAGACTCTCTAATTTTAGCAATACTTTCTAGACTCATTCTAGCAGTGTCATTTCTGCCCATGTGCAATACCAGAAGTGGATGGCAGTCATAAGACTGGATGTGCCTTGAAAGATTCTCTGTCACGATTTAGATATATACTTGTGAAGATAGCGGACTTCTTTACTGTTAGCATCAGGTCAACAAAAAAGCTGCCTTAGTATTCCTCAGCAGGGAATCACCAACCACCACTATTCATGTCTTCTTCTTTTGACCCTTGGTGGATCATCTCTCACTTATGGATATGTATCACTATTCCCTGAAGGATAAGAGGCTGTTTCTTCTTCAGAAGGCCTTGCTTCCTCTTCTTTACTAAAAACCTCATATCTGTTGCTTACTTCCAAGTGTTCAGTGAGCATTTTTCTCATATCATATTCTTTATGTCATATTTTTTCTTTTTTATACCATATTCTTTCACCCTCCAACCTCCTGACACTTCAGTTCTCCTCTCTTCAGTTCATGCAAGTCTGCCCATATTCTGACCCTCCAGACATGGGTCAGAATTCTCTCCTGCCTCTTCTGACCCATTTCCTTTGTCTTCACATTGTAGCTCTTCTTCCAAAGGAACACTTCAATGCAGGAAATCATTCTTCCAGCTCTTTTCCCTTCTCTAAGAGGGGAGACTATCTTGCACTTTGAGCAGGGTTAACAATTACTTGGTTGTGATGGGTAGATAAATATATAAACATCATGCACTCTATGCAAGTCACACTATAAAATTCATCATGCTCTTCATACTCCCTGAAAGCAAGTGTCTTACTACTTTGTTGTTTTATCTAGTAGCTCTTATGGTCAACTCCCCTAGAAGATTCTCTTCATCTCCTTAGCATCTTGAGATTTATACTTAATTTCCTTCCTAATTTCCTCCTCCTTTTCCTCCTCCTCCAGGTCTTCTTCTTCTCCCCCTCCTTCTCTTCACTCTCCTGGATCACCTAAGGAGACTTCCAAAGTTTCTCTTCACTCTTCAAACCTTCCATAGCACTCTTCTCCTACCCTCTCAGTTGAGGACCTCACCTCATACTTTACTGAGAAAACAGAAGCCATTTACCTTGAGCTCTCCCTTCTCTCCTATTCTATATCTCAGAACTCCCCAACATCACTTGTCCTTTCTCTCTTCCTTTATTGTAATTTCTGCTGACATCATTTTACACATTAAGATCAACTACCCTTCTTATACCTTTGATCTCATCCCCTTTTACCTCCTACAGCAGACTGTGTCCACAGTCGGGCCTCCTTTCTCTCTAATCTTCTTTCTCTCCCTATCTGTTCATTCCCTATTGCCTAAAAGTATGTTTAAAAAAAAACGCTAATCTTTAAAGAAAAATCCTCATTTAGCCCTCTCTCAAGGAATCATCCTTTAACTCTCCTGCCTTCCACAGTTCTACTCCTAGGGGGAAAAAAAAAGTTAGCTTTCATTGCCTCCACTTCCTCTCTTGCTTCTCAGTCCCTTGCAATCTGACTTCTGAGCTCATCCTCATCTGAAATTCTTTCCAAAGTTACCAATCATTGCTTAACTGACAAATACAATGGCCTTTTCTCAACTTTCATCATTATTGACTTTATGCAATATTTGAAATTATTTACAACCCTCTCCTCCTAAATATTCTTTTCTTTCTGAATTTTCATGACATTGTTCTGTCTTTCCCCCAACATCTACTCATCTTTCCAAATTTCCCTATTTCTATCAATGGCAACAAAATCCTTTCAGTTACCTTGGTTCAGAATTTCCATCATCTTTGCCTCCTCACTCTTCATAATTAATTATCAAGTTTTGTCAATTCTGCATTCCCCAACATCTCTTGAATTTGTCCTCTTCTTTCCACTCAAAATGCTGCCACCCTAGTTCAGGACCTTATCCCCTCTCACCTCTACTACTATAATATCCTAATTAGTTTCCTCAATGCTTGTCTTTCTCCTTCTTCAATCCGTTCTCCACATAACTGCCAAAGTTTTAGTTCAAAAGCACAGGCAGACCATACAACTCTTCTCATCAACAAATACCTCAGGCATAATGAAGTATAATATAAGTAGTGGAAAGAGCAATGCACTAGAAATGAGGAAACCTGAGCTGTCATGTAAGTTGTATCACCAACTAACTTTATGACTTAGAACAAATCAAGTAATCACATGGAGACTATTTCTTCATCTATTAAATGAAGGAGGTTGTACTAGATCAGGATGGGAAACCCGAAGTCTCAAGGCCTCATGTGGCCTTCTAGGTCCTCAAGTGTGGCCCTCTGACTGAATCCAAACTTCACAGGACAAATCCTCTTAATAAAAAAGGATTTCTTCTGTAAAACTTGCGACTTAGTCAAAAGGCTGCACCCAAGGACCTAGAAGGCCACATGTGGCCTCAAGGCCACAGGTTCCCTACCCCTGGATTAGATGACATCTAACATTCTGATTGGAATGAAATCCTAGGATCCCATAATTTAATTTATTTATATCTGCCACTTCAGTTTTTCAACCTTTTTGCCACAATGGACTACTATGTCTTGCCCAAGGCCACAGACCTAATAAGTGTCAGAGCTGAGAGCTGAACACAGATCTCCACTCCCAATCCAATATTCTTTCCATCACATGGAGGAGGAACAGAAGACTTGGCAAGACAGAAGCAGAGAAGAGAAGGAGCATCTCATACTAACTAGATGGGGGTAGAGTGCCTGCCTCACCCCTTAGTGCTTCAGGAAAAGGAATTCCCAATGAAATAGAGAGGGAATTCACATACTAGAACTCATCACTACACCTCCTATGTTTTTTCAATCCCTAATAACAAAGTTTATGAAAATAAGATGCCATCAGAATACATCCTCTTTATTAATAGAGGTATTACTGTAATTATCGTGGGCCAGCAAATCTGGGGGAGACATTTCTTCCTCAGAGGTTTGGAAATCATCTGTTCCTATTTTCTCTCCAGGGCAACAAATTGTTACTTATGGGCTGAAGAGTCTCCAAAGTGCTTTGAGCAGCCCAATCTAAAGAATATTCCATTAATAAACACTTTGTTCTTATGTGAAGTACTTTCTAAATATTTCAGGTGTTTTATGAGGGCAAAACAGAAAGCAAACATGAAACTTTTTGAGTACTCACTCATTCTTCATAAGCTTCAAACTCCAGGTCACAAAAATAAAGGGTAACTTCAGGCCCCATGGACCCTGTAGATTATTTAGCACTCAAGAAGATTAGACTAGGAGTCAAAAGACCTGGATTCCAGTGCTGACTCTTCCACTTAATGGCTATGTGACCTTGGGCAGTTCACTTGACCTAGACTATTAGAGCCAGGAAAGTCCTTTGAGATCCATCTAGTTGAATCTCTTCATTTTATAATGAGCCAGCAGATTTAGGGGGACCTTTCCTTGCCCTAAAGTTGAAGCTAGTAATTAATCCCTGCCTACCTCACAGGGTTGAGGTAAACCATGAAATCATAGATGGATAGCTAGAAGGGTCCTAAAGAGACCATCTAATGAATACAATCCTCTTATTTTACAGATGAAAATGTGAGTTCTAGAGAGGTCCAACACCAGGTGTGGAAAAATGTAAAATGCTTGAAATTGTTCTATAAAGTACATTCTGATTCACTGAAAAAGCCCAAGGATTACTGCTCTTATATAACTTTATTTCCTTAAGCTGTTCAAAGGGACTCCACATTACAATCCTTTAGTCCTTTGTTAGGATGTGAAGAAACCAGCTTGTTCAGAGGTAAGTGAAAACAAGGAGGCTTACAGTTACGGGATACTAGTTGAAATTCAGGCTAGATAAGTATGCTCAAAGTAGCACTGGCCAACTCACGTGAGTAAAAGTATATGACTCATTCATTTTATCACTGAACCTTTTTCAGACTCTACTAATATCATGAGATCAGCAGAATTTAGAATTGGAAGTGACCTTGGGGAATATTCGAATTAATTATTTTATTTGACAAATAAGGAAACAGTGGCCCAGAGAGTCTAAGTAATATGCTCAAGATCACAAAGTCAAAATTCAAACTCTGGTCTTCTGACTTCCAAGCAGCACTTCCTGCTTCCCCAACATCACAGTAGCATAGAACAGTGTCAGTAAGTAACTCTATACAGGCTGCTGAGCTACAGTGAAACATATGATTTCCCTGGTGGAGCAAAACAATAATGATATATTAGTTCACATAGTCTTTCATCTTCAAATATCATGATATCATGTATGCTGGTAGCTAGGTGCTGTAGATAATGGAGTGCTAGATTTGGAATTAGAAAGACCTGAATTTGAATCTGGCTTCAGAGACTTATAAGCTGTATAACCCTGAGAGAGTCCCTTTAGCACTCTGTGCCTCAGTTTCCCATCTGTAAAATGATCAGGCTGGACTTGACCTCTGAAGTACTTTCTTGACATAAGCAGACTATCATATTTACTAAGCCAGTGCTAGGAAACAGGAGACATGATCATATATTTCTTTCTTTCCTTTTTTTCATAATATCTTTGATTAAGAGAGAATGGGGGAAGAATTACAAACCTTAGGGAAAATATTAACCATTCCTATAAACCTGCTAAACAAAGTCCAGTCAGACAATAGCTTATTTTGAGCAAAGAGGTAAAACTTCTTACCCTAAATTTTAGGGGAATGAAGAGAAATAAAGTTTTAAAATTTTTCTTATTGAAAGATTACAATAATCACAGATAATATGAACTGATAACTGACTTCTCCCTAGTAAGAGATAGGAAAACAGACTTCTAGCATATTATACTCAATTTTGTTAATGCTTTTTCTTCATATAAATTTAATGACATCCCTGCGTCACTGACAACCTTACAAGATGCACTTACCCTTCTGCTTGTATATAATGATTTTTATTTAATTAGTGCATGAGTGTCCAACTGCCTAGAAGTACTCTCTGTTTATCTGCATCTGTGTTTTCACTATAAGGAAAGGGACTCAAAACTGAGAGACAAGAATTTGTTGTTCAGTCATTTCAGTCATGTCTGATTCTTTATGAGTCTAATTGGTGTTTTCCTGGCAAAGATAGTGGAGTGATTTGCCATTTCCTTCTCCAGCTCATTTTACAGATGAGGAAACTGCAGTAAATAGGGTGAAGTGACTTGCTAGAAATTGTCTAAAGCCAGATCTGAACTCAGGAAGACCAGTATTCCTGACTTCAGGCCTGACACTCTATCTCTTATACCATCTAGCCTAAAGGCAAGAAACCTGGGTTCTATTCCTGGCTCTACTACTAACAGAATGTCCTTGGGCAAGACATCTCCAAAGACTCTCTGAACCTCAGTTTCCAGATCTGTAACATAATTGTACCTCACATTCAAAAGGGCTTTCAAATTTATAAAACACTTCCATTACAACAATGCTATGAAGTAAACAGTGCAAGTATTATTATATCTGTTATTTAAGGATAAGGAAACACCATCTCAAAGAAGTGCTATTACTCGACCATGGTCACACACTGCAAAAATTACCAGATCCCTACATCATTCTGCCTACTTTAAGAATCAGACTAGATGATCACTCAGGGCCCTCCAACCCTAAAATCTTAGGATTCTCTCCGTCTTAGATGGCTTGATAAGGTATGTACCATAGAGTTATAACTACAAAGCTAACTACTAATCAACGTTTTTGATACTGATGACATTTGATCAGGTAAAGTCACCACTGATGAGCATTTTCTTAGGATGAAAATAAATGACAATTCTTTCAAGTGCCATAATGGAAAGAACACTAAAAAGATGTGGGTGTGAATACTATCTCTAACACTTCCTGTCTATGTGATCATTGGGCAAGTCACCTAACCATATCCCTAAAATGGAGGTAACACCTCTAGAACCTATCTCATAGAGTTCTGTAGATAAATTGAATATCATGTCACATATTTTGTAAGCCTTAAAGTCCATTATAAATATCAATTATTATTATTAATATCATTATTAGCACTTATATAGTTCTAACCTTATGCCAAATCAAAAGTTTTTGAAAACCCCATATAATATCTAAACTTTCCTTAGACCTATAGTTATGAAATGCTTTTTAAAAGAAATAACAGACTTTCTCTCCATTCATTACTGGGAAAACAATTAGTTTCTTTTAAATATGTAATCTTAGTATTTTCCAGAGTGCCTTATGAATAATATTTTCTTTGAAAGGTACCCCATGAACTCATTTCAAACAAAGAAAAAAGGAATATTAATCATCTTGAAAGTAAAAGAAAATTGTCAAGCTAAATACTCTCTTCTAGTGGGAAAACAAATTGTTACCTTTATGGTAGGACAATGAAAAAAACTCAGAAAAGCATCTATTTAAAATAATACTTTATTAAAATACATTTAAGACAACAAAATCATCTTTGTTAACTGATGGAGAATCAAACTAAAGAACAGGTATAAATACAGAAATTTAGGCCCCAAAAAGCTTTTATAACAACCAGCAACCAGTAACAAAATAATTTTCCTGATATGTGCCTGGTTGTATATAAGGAGAAATGAAAGTCTTATATGATTACTGCATTAACATAAGTAAAATGAAGAATTAACACATTACCAATAAGTACAGTCTATTCAGTGAGGCCAACAAAGTCTAGTCTCTTCTCAAAAGCTGCCGATATTCTAAAGATACAGATGTCTGTTCCACCTCTTCACTTTACAACTATTTTTTAAAAACTTTAAAAGTATAAAATAATCACAAAAGCACAAATCACTCCAGCAAATTCCAAAAAAGTTGGGATGTTAGCTAGTATCAGTCTGTTAGAAAAATTTCTGTCTCTTATAAAGACAGTACAAGGAGAGCTGTGAAGATTTCTACTACTAATTACTTAAATTATTCTCATGTAGTCGTCAAAGTACCCTTTCACCTATTAGCAAATCAGAGGCTCTCCATACATTTCTTATACATTAGTTAAAAATCAATAGCTATATAGATGGGGTGGTCGAGCTGCTTTTTGTATAAAGCTTTTACCTCATTTTAGAAATACATAAAGGTTCAGCACGTATATAACCTTGGAGCTCATGATTGTCGGGCTCTTTTAAATACAATCTGCTAATACATTTTGTGGCTTTGACAATTTGCCTCACATGGATCTGCGCAACAGTATAACAGGTACCACTGACAGAACAAATGAGACAGCTAACTATATATTCTATTCCTTTTAAACTGGAAGGAATGAAATAAGCATTTAGTAAATAGTGCCAGGCACTATGCTAAGTGCTTTACAAACATTATTTTATTTGATCCTCATAATAGCCCCATGAAGTAGGTGCTACTGTTATCCCCATTTTATAGATGAGAAAACTGAGCCAGACAGGGGTTAAGGGACTTATCCAAGGTCACACAAGCTAGTTAAGTGTCTGGGATGGAATTTGAAATCTGTACCAGGCCCAGAACACCTCTCTGCCTAGGTGAAGGGAGAATCTACATTGTTATTTTTTTAAAAAATCATTAAAACAAAGAATTGGAAATGGAAATGACTTGTCAATCTAAACAATATTTGATCATTCCAAATGTACCAGAAGTTTGCATACTATTTACACAGACATTAGTATATGCTTTGTATTATGTTATGATACAGGTATTCCCTGAAATACAGCTTTCCTATAATTTCTCTCCATTCTCAAAATGCAGAACAAGACAAAATACTCACAAGTGGAAAACACATAAAAGTTACTATGTCAATAGAACTGTTCAGCAAAATGAGTATTATCTGCTAAGAAAAATACCCAGAAAAGAGAGAAGGCTTGATCCAATAGGTGACAAAGCATTTCTTAGTCATACCAAGAGCATCACTTTCATTTCCATATTGCTACACACTCTTAATGGAATTTACAGGACAAGCATTAGGTGAACTGAAAACTATAAAAGTTTTCAGGATAAAATATATTTTCAAAGACATTGAAAGCAAAATAACCCAGGATCCTGGCCCTCATTTTGCCATTATTTTAAAAAATCTGCTTAAACAAGCATGTTTCCTCTCCTACTTCCCTCTTCTGACAAAAATTTATTTATAAATGAACTAATCAGGGAAACGCTATTTCTAGTTTACACTTGAGATTTCCTGCCATTTCCCCAACATCCGATCTAATAAACATTCTCTAGGGCAAAACCTAACAATCAAATTGGAGCCTTATCTATCTTTGTGATTAATCACCCCTAGGAAGGGAGCACAGAGGGAAAGTCAGAAGGCCAAGGTTTTGGATGACTGCCTATTGAGAATGCAACTAACCTTCAAAGAAGAAAGCCGATTTATACTTTAACCCTCAAAAGGATGAACAGTTGAATAGCATTTCTTGGATCGACCATAGAAATAGGGAAAATTATCATTAAAGAAATTATCCTTTTAGAAATGGGAAAGTTATCTTTATGGAAATAGGGAAATCATCTTCATTAATCAGGCATGTAAGTCCTTCCATTAAGCCTATTTATATATGTTTCCAAGAAGTCATTGGAAGGTTTGTTCAGTAAAGAAACATCTTATTTTACAGGGAAGTACCTAATCTTTCAGCACCTGTTAACTAAACTTACTGCACCTTCATTTCTTAGAAGACTCAAGTAACTTGTAATTTTCCATCTTCCCTACAACCAGAGTAGGGAGTTTACATATCTACTATTACTTCCTTTTTTATTTTTCGAGTGGGGAGTTCAATTTTTTTTTTTTTTTGCAACCTTCCCCTTTCCCAGTCTCCAAAAGACACGTAGTCCGGGCACGCATATGCACTGGTAAACATACATACACACAGAGCCTATCCAGAAACCTCCAGCAAACAACTTCACAAGAAAGACAGCAGGGCAACACTAACGTACTCTGCATATCAAACGTATGGAATGAGACAGAAGAAACAAGTTCCTAACTCACATTTGGGGGGGGGTTCACCCTCCGCTCCTCTATTCCTACAGATGACCTGTATCTGGCATTTTTTAAAGAAAAACCAACACCCCAGAACCAGCTGCATTTAAAGCAAAACCGAAGCGGAGAAGTGAGCAGCATCGCAAGCCCACCGCATAAAACCTCACGGTCCGGAGAGAAGCCGGCAGAGCGAACCTAGAGAAAACAAGGGGAAATGCGACACGAGAACTAAGCTTGGTTACCGAACCAGGAGCGTCACAATAAGAGGTAGAATGGTGTTCTCCAGGGTTCTGTAAAGCAGCGGCATGTGGCACTAGCGTCTTCTCCTGCCCCTACTGCCTGCAGCCTCCCCCGTAGCCCCCATTCAGTGGAGGAGGAAGGTGAAGAGGCACCCCTGTGCGCGCTCTGCTCTCCGCACAGCTGCAGGCGCAGCAGCGGCAGCAGAACGGCCAGCGCGCTCCTCTCCTCCTCTCCCGGGAACGCGCTTCCTCCCTGCACTCTCCTCCAAGCACCGAGCACAGCCCTGCCTTGCCCAGCCCTGGCCCTCCTCTCAGCTTTCCTGGCAGGGCTTTCGCAGACGCCCGTGCGTGCGGCCTTGAAGGTGCACGCGCTGCAGCTGCAGGTGAGAACAGGGCTTCCCCTGTTGCCAAGCGCCGGTCTCTAAGGAAGCAGGACTCTAACCTTATGGGTGGGCCCGGTAGTCGCGGAGGCGGAGAAACTGAGACCAGAACCTGGAGGGAAAGGGATTTTTAGCTGGCGTGGATAGTTTCCTGAAGGAAAGGAAGAAGAGTACTTACTACTTTGGAGGCATCAGGGGACAGTGTGGAGAATAAACCAATGGCTGTAGTAGTTCCTGGGGGAGGTGAGCCTCTCCTTCCCTCCCTCCCCTCTCTCAAGTACTCTTTCCTCAAAAGAAACTCCTAAGACAAAACAAAAACAAGAAACAGGCCACTGTTAGCATCATTACGACTACCTCTGCTTAGTACTTATACCTTAGCCTAGTTTGGAGACTATCCTGAATTCTCTAAGGGTACCTGTATTGCTCAGGCTCTTAACAGGTTCTACCTATTGGTTAAATACACTTGTTTGACCTTGTGTAAACATTATCTTAACTTTATTCTACGTATGGTATACAGTTGATACTGAGGGGAAAGCAGGGAATATTTCCGGGAAAGAAGGAGGTGGCGCTTAAGCCAGGCTTTGAAAGAAGCTAGGGATTCTAAGAATCAGTGGTGAGAAGGGAATATATTCCAGATATGGGAGCCAGCCTGGGTTTAGGCACACAGGGGAAATGGAATGTCACATGTAAGAATAAGTAAACAGGTCAGTTTTGACTAGAATGTTAAATACCTGAAAGGGATTGAAGTATAATAAATAAGTCTGGAAAGGTAGGCTGTCTTCTGTGAAGGACTTTAAGTACCAAACCAAAGAGTTTGCATTTTATCCTAGAGGCAATAATTGAGAGGCATTGGATCTTTTTGAACTCAAGGGATATCAGAGGTCATCTAGTTCTGCCCTTTTATTTAACCTTTATTTATTTATTTTTGGCTAGGCAATGGGGTCAACTGACTTGCCCAGGGTCATACAACTAGTAAATGTTATATGTCTGAGGTCGGTTTTGAACTCAGGTCCTCCTGAATCCAGGGCGTGTGCTCTATCCACTGCACCACTTAGCTGCCCCTTATTTAACATTTAGATGAGGAAGCAGGCACTAGGAGGTTAAATACCTTGTCCAAGATCATGCTAACAGTGTGAGGCAGGACTTGAACTCTGATCTTCTTATGTCAGAGCCTGTTTTCTTTCCATATGATCAGCCTTGTGCTTTAAGAGTAATACTTTGGCAACTGTGTGAAGTGCAGAATAGAATAGAAAGACTATTTATGAAAACTATTTAGGATTGCAGTGTTGTTGTTCAGTCATGGCTGACTCTTTGTGACCCTTTTTGGGGTTTTCTTGGCAAAGATACTGCGGTGGTTTGTCATTTCCTTTTCCAGCTCATTTTACAGATGAGGAAACTGAGGCAAACAGGGTTAAGTGACTTGCCCAGAGTGACACAGCTATTTAGTGTGTGAGGCCAAATTTGAACTCAGGTCCTCCTGATTCCAGGGCCAGCACTTTATCCACTGTTAGACCCAGCTGCCTCCCTCTTCCTGGTTATTTAGTTTAAAGATTAGAATAAAATGAAACACTTGAGGTCTAACCAGTAGTTAAAGAGATTTACTTAGTCATAGCAAGGGAATGATATTCAAAAAAGATATTCATTGAGGACATCAGAGTCGATTCAGTTGAGCACGGCTTCCTTCCCATAGTGTTCCTAGGGCCAGGCATCTGGGAGGAGTTCCTCTTGGCTTTTTGTACTCAGGTGATGAGGAAGAGATTTCAATGACCTGAGCCTCTAGTCACCTGAGCCAATTTATTCTTGAGGATAGTTTCAATACCTTTTAAGGAAAGAAAGGAGGCCAGGAGGGACTGGACTTCGATGTAGAAAAGTGGGAAATAGTAAGAGATAAAAATTAAGCTTAGTTATCCCCATTTCCCTAAAAGTTTGACCAAAGTAAGAGTCACTCTAAGGAGGAAGCCAAAAATAACCTAAAAACCACCTGAGGCAGCAAACCAAGATGTCCTTGTCAGTTCCCCAAATTTTAGATTTATTGTCATTTCCTAGCTTTTAAAATATAACTACTTTGGAATTAGAAGATGATACTTCTGTTATTTCATCCTCTCACCAATTCAAGCTGTATTAGGCAATAAGGATTTCTATTTTGGGAAGAAAGTTCATTCAATGTTAGAAAAAGTATCACACAAATTTTACTAATCCTGTAAAGTTGTTCATATTTTTTCTAAAATATTTTTAAGGTCTTATTTTGGGTTTTTTTTTCATGTAAAAATTATACTTTCTATGTACTTAACATATCTATATACTTAATTTTGTTATTCCAGAGAAACAATGTAAGATATAGATTTGATTAGCTGCCTTGGTGTTGCAGTTGGAACATTTCAGAACCTAAACAACTCTACTTAACTAGGAGTGGTAAGAACAGAAATCGATTTTAAATAAAATGTTTACACTACCAAAACTCCTTCGAAAACCTTTGCCTCCAAAGACACAACAGAAACCACTTCCCCTAAAGAAAGAAAAAATTCAGTCAGGTATGTAATATTAATCATAGAACCCTTCAATCTCTATAGTTTGGAGTTTCAGATAAGATAATATGAAAAAGACATATTATACAATTGAGTTTTAAAAATGAATATAGAATAAAATAAATATTTGCCTGAATCTATTCTGATTACAACTTGCATCTCCAAATTTCTCTCTCATCCCCAATTCAACACAATCTTCCCTCTAGACAAACTGATGTACTGTATCTCCTGAACACTCTATACATGTACGTATTCATTCCTTTGTTTCAGTGTGTACACCATTTGCCCTTCCTAGGCACAATAGCCAGCGTAAGATCAAGAAACAATGTGTTACAAGGTGTACAAGAGGCCGTGGTTGAGATTAGAGCCCAAAGCTCACCCATTCAGCCTTGCCTGGGAGTTTGATTTCTGTGAAGCTTCTTCGCTCAACACATCTAGCAAATGAATCTTTCTAATCACATCATCCCTTTTTCTACCTCCAGCTTTATGGAATCTAGATATAAAAGGAAATCTAGATATCATCAAGTCTGACTTCCTTCCACCACAAATAAAGAAGCTTACAGAAAGGCTGGGTTAATGATTGTGTCTTGTCTCTACAACCGGATAAGTCTCTTAAACACAGGGAATATTATATCTTTTTCTATCTTCATTTCCTAGTTAAATCAAGTCAACAAGCATTTATTTTTATTTATTTATTTTTTGGCAATTGGGATTAAGCAACTTGCCCAGGGTCTCACAGCTAGTAAGTATCAAGTGTTTGGTCTGAGGTCACATTTGAACTCAGGTCCTCCTGACTTCAGGATCTGTGCTCTATCCACTGCGCCATCTAGCTTCCCCTCAGCAAGCATTTATTAAAGGGACAGCTAGGTGGTGCAGTAGTTAGAGCTCCTGCCTTGGAGTCAGGAGGACCTGAGTTCAAATCCAGCCTCAGACACTTAAAACATACTAGCTGTGTGACCCTGGCAAGTCATTTAATCCCAATTGCCTCACCAAGAAGAAAAGAAAAAAGCATATATTAAGTACCTAATATGTTCTAGGCACTGTGCCAGTTTCTAGGGATACAAAGAAAGACAAAAAATAGACTACTCTCAACATGCAAACAACTATATACAAATGATAGATATCTACATAGATATGTATAATATATATATATAAATATCAAAATAATCAGTCTGTATCTTTTTAATTGATCCTATTTATAATTAATTGATTTTGTCTTGTAACTGCCTAAGTCATGATTCTTTGTTTCTGAACTTAATTCAGAAATTTAACTGGCCTATAATGACTTAAATTTAGAAATTTGGTTTTCCTGTTCATCACTGTTCTATTCTTGTGTCAAGGAAATCTGTTGCCCTTGAAGGATACAGGAGGACACCAAGGATTCTGGTATAGTATCTTTACTCAGCCAAGCTATCCTTCAGAAACGTCCAGTTTGTTAACCAAAGATGTCTGATTTGCTACCTCTGCCCTTGCAGATGCAGCTGGACTCAATGAATATTTCTTAGTCACAGGGGGAAAGGAGGGGTTTGTTGCTAGCCTTCATTTCCAATTTCCATCTAATCAAATTTTCTTCCATTTTATGATGCTGGCCTTCTGTACTCTCCAAAATAACTGGGTCTTAGCTTTGCTGAGGAAACTGAGATCCTATTTGCTGGTAAATTTGTGCTTTACTAATAAATTGATTGTGTTCAGAACTTTGTGCCCCAGTCTGCGTTTTTTAACTGTTACAATATATATCCGTATTGATATCTATCACTTGTATGTAGTGGTTTACATGTTGTATACATGTATTCATATATATAGCTATCTATATATGTAAGGTATTTCACAATATTCAAAGCACCACAGCTATTATTATTACTACTACTGCTATTATCATTATTGTTCATGGAAATAAGACTATAAGGACTAAAGGAATGAATGGATCATGGAAAATGAATTAAGGAAATAGAGATAACACGTGTGGTCTACTTACCTGAAGAGCCTGACAGTGGGTGAAATAATGGCCAAGCAAAGAGTAGTGCTAGGCTAGTTTTTGTTTTTTCCTTTGGTTAGACAATGGGGTTAAGTGACTTGCCTAGGGTCACACAGCTAGTAAGTGTTATGTGTCTGAGGCCGGACTTGAATTCAGGTCCTCCTGAATCCAGGGCCACTGCTCTATCCTCTGCGCCACCTACCTGCCCCTTTTTTTTCTTTCTTAAGGCTGTTTATAGATAAAGGTACAGTAGCCAGTGTAAGGTCAAGAAGCAACATGTTATAAGGTGTATAAAAGGCTATGACTGAGATTAGAGCCTAAAGACCTTGAAATCCATTCTCCTGATGTCTAGCACCAAGTCAGAATTTTCCCATACCTGGTGTTCTCATCACTATCACAGAAGTTAAAATGGCATTGTCACTGATTCCCAAGGTAGAGTCCTATGATTTCCATTTATCAATCAGTTCCTCTTTACTGGTCAGACTGTAGTCCAAAATAACAGTTCTGTAACTGCTTCCCCTCCATTCTAAAAGCGAAAACTATGAATAAGGAAAATAAAGGATATACGTGATGCTTTGGTGTTAATAGATTTCTAACTTTGATCCAAATAGTTGAAATCCTTCATCACAACCATGTCTTTCTTCTGTGCCAGCCTACTCACCACCACACAATATATGGAGTGTCTCAAAAGAAAAGCTATTTGGAACATCCTGCATATTAATGCTCAGGTTACTACTTCCTGATATACCTAAGCACTACTCCACCTCCATGAAATAGCTGGAGAAGGGGAAGATATCTTTCTATGTAAAGAAAATCTATGTTTCTGTCTTCTCCTTTTAGCCCCATAGTGACCTAAGTGCCAGCATTGGGGATACTCTGCTACATTCTAGATACAGCCCCATGGAGGCAGCCTATCTCTGGATAAGTCACGTGTCTATACAAAGCTATCTTTGAACCTCTCATCAGAGAGGCAATGACTACTAGAATGTATCTTTTTTTCTTGGGAAAGTAATATACTTCTTTGTATCTTCTGGCAGTTTTGGATTCTCTTTTTAATCACATGGAGGAAGAGAGTTGCTTGCATTTCAGAGAGTATAGTTCAGGGGCACTTTGACTCCCTTTGGCAATTGGGTGAAACCTAAGGACATCTTAACAGAATAATATTTTTAAATGCATATAGTAAAATGCACAAGATTACCAGAGAAACTAATTATTTTGAAAGATAGTTATCAATTTTTTTTTTGAACACAGATTGAGGGGTTCTCAATCTGAACACAGATTGAGAACCCCTGGGCTCTAAATACATTCTTTGTGATGAGGCTCAAATAACATCTATAGCCTTGGTAGTTTAGCATATCTCTTACCGTTCCTCTTTAGTGTTATTTTTCTACTCTCTAACCTCTTAACCCTGGTTTAGACTCTTCCTTTGCCACCTTGGTAGTTTTCTTCTTTGTTTTCCTTTTGGAGCTACAGTCAATCCTCAACTTTCACAACACACCAAGCTCTCTGATACTCTGTCCTTCATGGCTGGTGGATGGAGTTGGAGATGTACCAGCTTGAAATAAACCATCAAGGAAGTCTGCTTTGTGAGCTATTTGAGATCCTTAAAGGTCTCAGAGTGAGGGAGCAGAGCAGAGACAAATTGTCATTTAACTTTGAGGCTGTGATCTATGGGATCAATGAAGCACCTGGTAGGATACTAGCAGCTCCACAAACTTCTGCATCAGGCCTTGATCTTGGTTGCCATTTTTAGGCTATGCTAGGATGGAGGAAAAAAAAGACAAGAGGCTATTTTACAGGAGGCTCTTTGATAATTTTGAAAATAAGGGGATGAGTGGTATGGAGTAGGATATTGATGGAAATGAAGAGAAAGGGACAAGACTAAGTAATGGTTATAAGAAAAACTGATAGGATTTGTTGACGGATTAGTTGTGAGGAAGCAAGAAACAGATGCCGTTGAAGATGACTCCCAGGACTTGGGGTCATCTTATTAGAACTGTGAGAATGATGGTGCCATGAGATATTTACTTGGGATTGAGAGGAAATTGGAAGGCAATTAGACATATGGATCTAGAGCTTGGTCAAAACATCAAGGCTAGAATTGTAGAGTTGAAAATTAGCAACGTGGAAGATGGTAGATGAAGCTATAGATGCCCTACCCCCCTCTTCTTCACTAGTTCAAGTTCAACCAACCCTTCCTTTCATATCCAAATCAAGTTTTCCATCTTTCACAAAACTTTCCTTAATAGTTTACCTTACAGTAAATTTTTAAATTGTTTTGAGTTTTTGACCTTGACTACCTATACTATTCATTTGCCACTTAATCATTGACCACCCTATGACATCTCTAATGTTTTTATCTTGAGTTGTTATTTAACTCATGTTTTTTCTCCCTAATGTTTTATATGTGTATGTCTATCAAGTAAGTTCATCAAGGGAAAGGATCTATTTGTTATACTAAATAAATACAATAATTTCATGACTGAATAAAATCTGAGTAGATGTTATTAACTCAGGGATCTGTTACATTGTATTTTCTTGACCAAAAAAAAATATTGATTAATAAACAGAATCTCAATATTTTTCTCCCTCTGTTTCTACGCCTCCCCACCCTGCAATTTAGCTATCACCAATGAAGTATCCAAGCAACAAGATCTTCTTAAACCCTGTCCCAGTAAAATTATTACAACTGAAATAGAGAAGAATGTAATTCTTGGAAAATTTCCAAAGAGGAAAAAGCAATCCCGGATCCATATCAAAAACCTGCTTCTTAAATGGCACATAAAAAGACATAGGGATGTGGCATCAAAGATGTTTTTAAAGAAATATCCAAAGTTCCGTGTGATATTTTCAAATGGCCAAGATAATTATAGTGGTCCTTTCTGTTTGCCAACTTACAATTCAGCAAAAGATGAAAATGTTTCAGAAAAGTCAAGTCTGCAATGTAAAACGAGAAACTACTTTTTGGATGGTGCTTTAGAAAAAACTTCAGTCATGTCTTCTGAGACCTCAACACCTATGAGTTCGCAATTAGGACACTCATCCAACATCATAAAACCTGACCTTGAGCGTTTAACTACACCAGACTCAATATATATGCCTGTTATATACTCTAGATTTGTGAATGAAAATCAACCTGTGTCTAAGAAAGGGAAAATGAATTGGTATGACAAAGTGCAAATCACTCATGGCACAATGACTAGACACAATTTTTCATTTGACGCACTATCAGCAGCTTCAGCAAGAAAGCCTTATAGACAATATATGTTAGGTAATATTCATCTAATCCTAACTGATGGATAACTTTTAATTTCTTCAAAAATTTTATGAATTTTTCTGTAAGATCTATGACCTTTCATTTTCAAGGAAATATTCCTTGCCTGTGATGATTTATGAGAAGGATCGGACCACCCATAGGAAGTATATGAATTGTGGAACAATTCATACAATTGTCCCACAAGTTCCCAAGCCCCCACCTAAAAAAACAAACACAGGTCTCTCTCTTTTTTTCTCCTAGAATTTTCTAAAATAGAAGAGGAAAAACCAGATCGCAGAGACTCCTCACTAGAAGGAAAAATAATTCCTCTTCCAGGTAAATTATGTATACATTTCTTATAAGACAAGGTAAGGAAAACTAACTGCCCAAGGACAGGCAAGGAGTGGAGAAGAGCACAATTTTCATACTTTTCTAGGGCACAGAAATATTTTTCCTTAGATATGTGTTTTCTTTGGTGTTAAATAATATAAATCATTAAGCACAGAATTATGAGCAACATCTTGGTATTTGTATTTTAATTTCCACTTAACTTGAATGGATAAATGTAATTAATAATTGAACATTAGCTCTTCCTTAGATATTAGTACTTGTATTTAATGTTTAATCAGTTCAATTAATCAACTGACGAGCATTTGTTAAGCACCAACTGTGTGCCAGGCACTGTGTTAGGTGCTAGGAATTGTAATAATCATAAAAACAGCAACAGTAGTAATAACTAGCATTGATGGAGTACTTTAAGGTTTGCAAAGCACTTTACATATGTCATCTAATTTAATACAACAACCCTCTGAGATAGGTATTATTATTATTATTATTATTATTATTATTATTATTATTATTATTATTATTGTTATTATTGTTATCCCCCTTTTATAGGAAGAGGTTGTGACTTGCCCAAAATTACGTAACTAAGTGTGTGCTTGAGGCAGGATTTGAACTTAGGTTTTCCTGATTCTGTGCCTAGGATTTTATCCATTAGGACAAAACTGAAACAGTCTTGCTCACAGGGCCTTTATATTCTAGTGGGTGAGATAAAATGTACATAAGTATATACAAAATGAGTAAAAATAAATAAATAAATAAATACAAAATAGTTTAAAAATTTTTTTAAATGTAGAAATTGGGAGGGGGGTGGAATCAGGAAAGATTCCATGTAGGAAGTTAAATGGGTTTTGGGTTGGTTTTTTTTTGGCAAAGCAATTGGAGTTAAGTGACTTGCCCAGGGTCACACAGCTAGTAAGTGTCAAGTGTCTGGTCTGAGACCACATTTGAACTCAGGTCCTCCTGAGTCCAGGGCCAGTGCTCTCTCCACTGTACCACCTAGCTGCCCTAGGAAGTTAAATCTTAAAGGAATGAGATGATACTATGATTCCAAGATGAGGAGGAACAGCATTCCAAGCAGTGGGGATGGCCATTGCAAAGATACAGAGCTAGAGTATCACTTGTAAGGAATAGCCAGGACAGCGTGGCAGACTAGAGAATCTGGGAAGAAAAGTAAGACAATACATTGGGAAACGTAGCTTGTGGCCAGGTGGTGAGTGACTTTAAATGCCAACTAGAGGAACTTCTCTTTTTCCTGGTGGCAATAGGAGCTTTTGGAGTTTATTAAGTAGAAAAAAGCACATGGTCAGAGCTGTGCTTAAGGAATACCATTTTTGCAGCTATGAGGAAGGTAGATTGTAGTAGGGAGAGGTGTGAGACAGGAAGACCAGTTAGGAAGTCATTCTAATAGGTTAATGAGAGGTTATGAGGGTCTAAACTAAGGTGAAGCCTTGTCAGTAGTAAGAAACAGATGTGAAAAATGCTCTGGAGGTGGAAATAACAGAATTTGGCAATTGATTGATTGGATTTGTGGGGTGAAGAAGATCAAGGAATCGAGAATAACACTGTAAGGTTGAAAATCTGGGAGACTGGAAAGGTAGTGGTGCCCTCAACAGAAATATAGAAGTTCAAAACAAAGCAAAGTTGGGGGTAAGGGGGTGAAGTAAACAGTTCTGTTATATCTAATGTCTGCTTCCCTGCTGCCTATGAACACACCCAACATCTCCCCATCTTTAAAAGATACTTTATTGGCCCATCTCCAAAGGCTATCTAGTGACTATCATCCTATATCTCTTCTCCCTTGTGTGGCTAAACTCCTTGAGAAGGATATCTATAATTGGCACTTCTGCTTTTCCACTCATTCTCTTCCAAACTGTCTTCAGCCTGGCATCTGATTTCATCATTCAACTGAAACTGTTCTCTGAAGTTACCAATGTTCTTTTAATGGTTGAATTTATTGGCATTTTCTCAATCCTCATCCTTTTATACCTCTCTATAACTGTTGACACTGTTGTTCACTCTCTTTTTCTGGATATTCTCTCTTCCCTTGGTTTTCATGACATTGTTCTTTTCTATTTGTCTGACCACATTTTTTCAGTATCTTTTGTTGAGCTTTCCTCCAAGTCATGCCCACTAATTGTGGGTATCATCCATATGTCTGTCCTAGACCCTTTTCTTTTCTTTTTTTTTGTTTTTCTTATTTGAATACTTTACTGAATATTTTATCTGAATGACAGCTCATGTTTCCTAGGCCTTTGCAGAAGATACCCTCTCAGTCACTGTACTTTGAGGTCCTGATGGTGCAATTTTTCCTCAGAAGGCTGGACTGAGACTGGATGGCTCATGTGTGCTACAGATCTAGTCAATTTGGAGTCCACCTGGTTCCCCAGCTGGGCCTCAGACCAGTCCCCTCAGAGCTGGTGTCTGGGGTCATTGAGAAATCTGCGGCTTCGCGGGCACGTTAGACAAGCTGTCCAGTGCTGGCCTAGGCGACGCCTCTGCCGCTGGGTGCAGGTCAGACCCGGGATGAGGAGGTTGGAGCAGCTGCGACAGAGGGTCCTCTTCACCGAGGGGTCCTGTCGCAGGACAAGCCGCTTGCCAATGGTTCTTTCCATGTGGCAGTAAAACCTCGCCAGCGCCTGGTTCTCGAGATTCTGGGCTAAGACGCAGTGGGCAGCCTGGTATAGGGAGCTGAGTCTCTGAAAAGCCTCCTTGTCCTTCACCTGCCCCACCATCACCTCGGCAGCCCTTGTGCACCCGGCCTCCTCCCTAGACCCTTCTTTTTTCTCACTCTATACTATCTTTCTTGATGATCTCATCAACTCCCGTGGGTTCAATTATTACCTCTATGCAGATGATTCTCAGATCTGTTTATCCAGCTCTAACTCTCTTCTGAGCTCTAGACTCACATCTCCAACTGGATGTCCCATAGGCATGTCAAACTCAACACGCCCCAAAATTAATTCGTTATTATTCCCCACTCCTCTCTTCTGAACTTCCCTGTTACTGCTGTGAATACAAACACCCTCCCGATCACCCCAGCTCACAACTGCTGCATTAGCTTTGTTTCCTCAATTGCGCAAAGTCAATAGGCATTTATTGAGTGCCCGCCATGTACCAAGCACTGTGCTAGCACTGACTGTACAAAGAAAGGCAAAAGTCCTTGCTCTCAAGGAGCTCACAGTCTAATGGAGGAGACAATATGAAAACAACTGTGTACCTACAAGATATGTACAGGACTTCTGTTGGAGCTCAGCAACAGAGAGAGAGGAACCACATTCAAGATTAAGAAAGGCTTCTCATAGAAGGGGAGGTTTTAATTAGAACACTTACCCTCCTCTAATCTGTTACCAGATCCTGTCATTTCTACTTCCATTTCATCTCTTATACAAATAACTTGTCTTCACTCACATACCTGACACTGGTACAGGCCTATTAGACATCTTGAACTGGATGTCTTATAGACATTTTAAATTCAATATGTCTGAAACGGAACTCATCATCTTTTCCCCAAACCTTTTCCCCACCCTCCAAACTTCCCTGTTACTGTCCAAGGCATTACCATCCTGCCTGTCTCCTAAGCTTGCAACTTAGGTGTTACCTTTGACTCCTCACTATCACTCACTCTCCCCATCCAATCTTTTCCCAAGCTATGTCAATTTCCTTTGCAACATCTCTTGTATATACGGCACCATCCCACCCCATCCCCTCTATTACTGGGAACACTCTGGGACAGGCCCTCATCTCCTCATGCCTGAATTATTGCAACAGTTTGCTGGTTAGTTGCCTGCCACAAGTCTGTCCATCCTCCACCCAGCCATCAAAATGAGTTTCCTTAATCATAGATTTAACCATTTTAACCCCCTACTTGATAAACTTTAGAAGCTATTCATTACCTCCAGGATCAAATATAGTACCCTTTGGAATTCAAAGCCCTTCACAACCAAGTCTCTTGCTAGTATTCTTATACCTTTCCCTCTCACCATATTCTCTGATTCAGTGACATTGACCTCCTTGCTCCTCCTTCTCAAGCAAGGCACTCATCTCTTAGCTCCTGTCATTTTCACTGGCTGTCTTTTGTACATGGAAGGGTTTCCTCCTTCATCTCTACCTCCTGGCTTCCTTCAAGTCCCTGTTAAAATCTCACCTTTTACAGGAAGCCTTTCCCAATCTTTAATTAATGTCTCCCATCTATTGATTATTTTTCATTTATCTTGTCTAGACATCTTGCTATTATACATAACTGTTTGCATGCTGTCACCCCCATTAAATTGTGAGCTCCTCCAGGTCAAGAACTGCCTTTTGCCTTTCTTTGTATCCCCAGCGCTAAGCACTGTGACTAGCATGTTTACTTATTGACTGACTGCCTGGTGCATAGGATAGAAGGGGGTTGGTGGGTAGCGTGAGTGGAAGCTTTAAGTATTTCAATTCTCTGATGTTATTTCATAAAGTTTTTACTTTGTGCAGTGTTTCCATCTTTTTACCTTACTGATTTAGCTTCAATTACTGTGGATTTGTCACATTTTTCTGTTTTGAGGTGTTTTTTTTTGTAGGAGGAATTACATCGAAAGCAACTGCTAAGTCATTATACCAATTACTTTAGGTTCTCAGTTTTCCTGCCATAGAATTTATTTTTTTTTCCCATTTCCCCTCTGTTCCTTGTGAATTGACATTGTTCATTTTTAAATTTTGGTAATTTAATCTCCCCCCCCTTTTTTTTATTAAGTTAGTTTACGATTCTTCAATTGTATTAGGTTTTGCAAAAATAAAAAAAATAGCCCTTGGTTTTGTTGACCATTTCTAGTCATTCTTTTCCACCTAGTTTCTCTAATTTTGATTTTCTAAAAATTGCACGCTCAGTTAATTCTCTGCTTTTCTGTTTTGCTAGTATATGTGTACGGAGTTAATTTTTTACATAGAACTGTTTTATTTGCCCGTCACAAATTTTGGCATAGCATCTCACTGTTATTTCACTGTTATATTCTTTCTCACCTAGTTATTGTTTCTATGATTTGTTCATTGTTCAGGCTATTATTCCTTAGTCCCTTTTTAGGTTTGTATCTTTTTTTAATCTCCTGTTTTAATTACTAGGTTTTTTTTGTGTTGCCTTTGAAGAAAATATTTAAATTTTCTCCCCTTTTTAAATTTGTGTAGATAATAATCTTCCACAGGAGTCTTAGCAAAGTTGATGACTAAAAAGTGAAAGACATTGAAAGGTAAAAGGAGAGGGACTTTCAGGGACAGAAGAAACTTTACCTTAGAGAAAATCTGAGTTTTGAATAGCTCAGTTACATATGAAGAGTCCAGTGAGACAATTAACTTGGCCCAGGGTGTAGACCATTTTGTTAGTTTTTCTCCAGCCACTCATCTGTAGAGTGAAAGCAACAGTAGAGCTGAAAAAAAGAGCCAACTTTAAAAGGGGAAAAATGGGTTTAGTCCTAAATATTGTGACCTCAGCCAAATGAATAGTTGAGGTGAGTCCTACACAATGTTCCCTGGCTCCTCTTTCAACTTTTATTCAATATGATATAGTACTTAAATCTCCTCTAACAGCAACGTGTTTTTCTTTTTAGATTTACCTCTAGAAATGACCGAATCTGAGAAGGAACTAATTGTGCACGGTGAGGGTTATTATAAAGATTTACTATCACCTGATGATAATCCAAAACTGAACCTTGCCAAAATAGCTGTTATCAGATGTCATGAACATGGAAGAAATGCACTTAGTCTTAAGGTACAATATTTTTCAGTGATTATATTCATTAGCATTATTTTTTTCTTTAGCCTTTCAAACTTAATCCACTTTAGATGATACTTTACTTCTGCAAATGAAACTTCCTTTGGATATGCATCTAGATTTTGATGGACCAATAGTATTACATAAAAATGTTACTAATACATCCATGAACCTAGCCGCCTGGTTTAGTACACAGGTGGAAGCTTAAAGCTCAGTTCTGTGCATACAATAAGCACTTAATAAATATTTGGTAATTTCATTTAAAGTAATTTTTATTTAATTTAGTTAACATACTCCGATGCACTGGGGTAATAGAATATTCTTGCCTAGGTGACATTCAGGAGTTGGAAGCCAGCTGTGAGACATGATTAATAGACCTCAACCTTCCCTAGCCCCCAGTTCTCAGATCAGCTTGATCTTGGATACCTCTGTCATTGCCACTATTATTGAAGCCTTTTTTCTCCCATGTTGTTAGCAATGGGTATAGGAATATCACTTAGGTCACACAGTGAAGATGCTCTTTGGAGATTTTACCCTTAACCAGTTTGTGGAAAAGGTGGTAAACAGGTCCATAATGCCTGTTTACATTTGTCAAAGTGGTCTGTCTTTTCTGAGGTTTGTAGTGTAACATGAGAGAACACAGGAATAAATGACTAGGTGAGATTGTGAAGTTTGTAGCAACTTAACTATGGAAGACTTATTTCTATCTCACTTCTGTTTCATGTTTTGTTGACCATTTTTATAGTTTTTGGTTTTGGGGGTTTTTTTTTTTTTTTTTTGACTAGGCAATGGAGAGAACTGACTTGTCCAGGGTCACACAGCTAGTAAAAATTATGTGTCTGAGGCCGGATTTGAACTCAGGTCCTCTTGAATCCAGGGCTGTTGCTCCATCCACAGTGCCACCTAGCTGCCCCCATGTTTATAGTTTTTCTTTTTGACCTAGTTTCTCTAACTTTCATATCTTTTAGGAATTAATTTATTGATTTTCTTTAAAAAAAAAACTCCATGCTCAGTTAATTCTCTCCTTTTCTGTTTTGTTAGTTTATGTGTGCTGTCTCATTTTCCTCTGTGATATAGTGTGTGGTCCTCATTGCCAAACCTCTAGAAAATAACAACTCATATTTAAGATTTACAAAGATATTTTCTTGCCAGAAACATGAGAAAAATATTACAAATGCCATAATTTTCATTTTCCAGGTGAGAAAACTGAGATTTGCCCACGGCCACATCGGAATGTCAAAACTCAGGTTTTCTGACTCTGAGTTCAGTGATTTTGCCGCTCACTGTTCCATGGTGCCACTAGCTAGTGTAACATATCTGTGTTTACCAGATGTTTGTTTATAGGCCATAGTTAGATCCTCAGTGTACTTCAGAGCTAGGAAACAGAGCACATAAAAGAGTATATCTCTTGCTACAATGTTTTTTAATCTGTCTTCTCTCTACTCACATGATCACCCTAGTTGAAGGGTACTCCCATGCCCTCTCACCTATAGGAAAATTCTTCATTTGGGCTTTCACTCTTAACTAAGGAGGCAAAACTCAGGAAAAAGAGAATTAAAAGAGTTTGTTATATGTCAAGGTAGCAAAACGTTGATGGGCTAATCACTGAAGATCAGTGATGGCTTCAAAGCAGGGCCAACTATTATTGGGAACTTTAAAGACAATTCTAATAGGTCTACCTCAGTGAAAGAAATGGAGCCCTTGAATCTCAGTTCCTCTGCAAGATAGCAAGAAACATATTGATTTGTAGGTAGGGGCACACACTTCACAGGTGGGGTATATGACAAAGAGCAGGTAATGCAAAAAGATGCAGAATTGATGTTGCCTTCCCCAACAGAACCTCCCCTAACAAATGATTGATAAGCAGGGCTGGGAACAATAGATCACTGAATCAACATAACTTTCAATAATTCCCCTATTTGATGCTAACTGCATATATGGAAAAGACTAAACATTGAAACAAAACATATATGGTTCAGCACCACATTCAGTCATATAGTCCACCTTTATTCCCAACTAGCTAGTGTAACATGTCCCTGTTCACCAGATGTTCATTTATAGGCCATAGTTAAGACCCTCAGGCTACTTCAGAGCTAGGAAACAGAGCACATAAAAGAGTATATCTCTTGCCACACCATTTTTTAATCTGTCTTCTCTGCATTCACATGATCACCCCAGTTGAAAGTCACTCCCATCCCCTCTCACCTGTGTTGTAAGGAAAATTCTTCATTTGGGCTTTCACCCTAACTAAAGAGGCATCCTAATCTGTCCTAACCTCCTATCCTAATCTAATCATCCTAATCCCTGCTGTTCATTGTGCCAAATTAGTGGCTATAAACTAGGGGATTTACACTCACAACAGGAAACAAGTGTCCTACATCATAATCCCATGTTCCCATCAGTCTCTTAAAGTTGAATAAACAAGTCATAATCTCATGTATCCAAATAGGCCCTAGATGTAAACTAAGGCATGTTACAGATCAAGCCATTTAGAGAGCACACCATGTACTTATTTTAGAGGGAAGATGTACACAGCAGCAAAGTCACCAAGAAAACTCAGTAAATATGAATACCATGAAACTAAAAAAAATTAACAATTAATACAATAATGATCATTGATATCAAATAACAGCAATCATTCTTATAACCTGGTAACCCATTCCTAATGTTTAGTTAATTAGCACATTTCATCTTGACTCTCAGATGTCATATGTAATTGTTTGGTCCCTGGAAACACCTTCCCTAGACTTCACAGGATAGGCCTCCAGCTCATGCAGCTCTGATCTCGTCTCTTTGTAGCAGATCTGCTTCTCTGGCTCCAAGTCAGCTGCAGAGTGATTCTACGAAAATCTTTTGCAAAACATAGTCCAATTGTCATAGACATACATTGCTACTGGAAAAACCATGGCCTTAACTATACAGACCTCTTTCGCCAAGGTGACGTCTCTACTTTTTTAGTATGCTATCCAGATTTGCCATAGCCTTGCAAGGAGAAAACATCTTTTAATCTCATGGCTTCAGTCTCTATCTGCAGTGATCTTTGAGCCCAAGAATATAAAATCTGACATTGTTTCCATTACTTCTCCCTCTATTTGCCAGGAAGTGATGGTACCAGTTGCCATGATCTTAGTTTTCTTTTTCTTGTTTTTATGTTAAAAAAAAATAGCTGTTATACTCCCCTATTTCACCTTCATCAAGAGGCTTCTTAATTCTTCTTCACTTTCTTCCATCAGAATGGTATCATTTCCATATCTATGATTGTTGATATTTCTCCTGGCAACTTTAATTCTAGCTTTTGATTTGTCCAGCCTGGCATTTCTCATGATGTACTCTGCATATAAGTAAATAAATAAGATGAAAAAATATAGTCTTGTCATACTCCTTTTCCAATTTTAAACCAATCAGTTGTTCCATGTCAGTTCTAACTATTGCTTTTTGGCCCCCATAGAGGTTCCTCAGGAAAAAAGTAAGATGATCTTGTACTCCCCTTTCTTTGATGACTTCCCACATTTCATTGTGATCCGCACAAGCAAAGGCTTTAGGATAGTCAATAAAGCAGAAGTGGATGTTTTTCTGGACTTCTGTTTTCTCCATAATTCAGTGAATGTTGGCAATTTGATCTACAGTTTCTCTGCCTCTTTGAAAACCAGCATGCTCTTCTGGTAATTCTTGGTTCACAAATTACCAAAGCCTAGTTTGCAGAATCTTAAGCATAACCTTGCTGGCATAGGGAATGAGTATAATTGTTTAGTATTTTGCACATTCTTTGGCATTGTCCTTCTTTGGGATTGGAAGGTAAACTGATCTTTTCCAATCCAGGGGCCACTGTTGAATTTTTCAAATTTGCAGGCACATTGAGTGCAGCACTTTAACAGCATCATCTTTTAGGGTTTTAAATAACTCAGCTGGAATTCCATCACCTCCACTAGCCTTATTGTTAATAATACTTTCTACGGCCCACTTGACTTCATTCTCCAGGATGTCTGGCTCTAGCTCAGTAACTACACTATCATGCTTTGTTAATGTTAAGATCTTTCTTGTATAATTCTTTTGTGTATTCTTGTTACCTCTTCTTAATCTCTTCTGCTTCTGTTAAGTCCCTACCATTTCTGTCTTTTATCATTCACATTTTTTCATGAAATATTCTTTTCATATATAATGTTTGTGAAGAGATCTCTGTCTTTTCCTTTCTATTATTTTCTTCTCTCTTTGCATTGCTCATTTAAGTAAACCTTCTTATTTCTCCTTGCTATTCTCTGGAACTTTGCATTCAGTTGGATATGTCTTTCTCTTTCTCCTTTACCTTTCACTTTCCTTCTTTCCTTAGCTATTTATAAAGTCTCATCAGACAGCCATTTTTCTTTCTTGCTCTTCTTTTTCTTTGGAATGTTTTTTGTTGCTGCCTTCTGTAATTCTGTCTATAGTTCTTCAGGTACTCTAGCTACATGATCTAATTGCTTAAATCTATTCTTCACTTCCACTTCATATTCATAAGAGACATTATTTAGGTCATACCTATGTGGTCTGGTGGTCTTCCCTACTTCCTTCAATTTAAATCTGGATTTTGCAATAATAAACTCATGATCTGAGCCACAGTCGGCTCTAGGTCTTATTTTAACTGACTGCACCTTTGGCTACAAAATATGTAATCAGTCTGATTTTGATATTGACCATCTGGTGATGTCCATGTGTAGAGTTGCCTTTTAGGTTGTTGAAAAAGAGTATTTACTATGACCAGTGAGTTATCGTGACAAAACTCTTATTAGTCTCTGCCCTGCTTCATTTGTACTCTATGGTCAAACTTGCCAATGTAATTGTGACTCCAGGTATCTTTTAATTTCCTACTGATCAACTCTGGCCTCTTCGGCATCCGTGGTTTGAGCAAAGATTTTTGTTACTGTGATGTTGAGCAGTTTGCCTTGGATTTGAACAGATATCATTCTGTCATTTTTGAAATTATTCCCCAGTACTGCTTTTCTCACCCTTTTATTGACTATGACGGCTACTCCATTTCTTCTGAGGGATTCTTACCCACAGTGGTATATGTAATAATTATCTGAATTAAATCCATCCATTCCTGTCCATTTAAGTTCACTGATACCCAAGATATCGACGTTTAATCTTTTCATCTCGTGTTTGACCACATCCAGCTTACTTTGTTTCATAGATCTTACATTCCAGGTTCCTATGCAGTATTGATATTTACAGCATCAGACTGTCTTTTTGTCACCAGACATATCTGCAGCTGAGCTTCCTTTTGGGCTTGGTCCAGCTGCTTCATTAGTACTGGAGCTACTTGTTAAGTTGTTCTCTACTCTTCCCCAGTAATATGCTGGACACTTTCTGTCTTGAGGGGTTCATCTCCCAGGGCTATATCTTTTATCATTTTAATACTGCCCATGGGGTTTTGTTGACAAACATACTGGAGTACTTTGCCATTGCCTTCTCCAGTGGATCACCTTTTGTCAGAACTCTCCACTAGGACCTGTCTCTCACAGGTGATGTTGCATGGTATAGTTCATAGTTTCATTGAGCTGTGCAAGCCCTTCTGCCACAACAAGGCAGTGATGTTTAATGTGCTATAAGTAACTCTCTGTTGGACCAGTTTGCAGACATAGACATATCATTTTAAGGACCTGTAAAAAGTTGATTCCAAACATGTAATAATGATGATCTTGCTTGGTTCTAATATGATTTTTCTCTTGAAGTGTCTATGAAACTTAATGTAAAGTGCTATGTCAATACTTGATTAATTTAACATTGGTTAAATTATTTAAACTATTATTTAAACTATTTCAACAGATTTTAAAGAATTAAATGATTTTTTAAAGGTGCCTGACTGACCTAAAATGATTTTATAACTATTTAAGGATTGTAGTATGTGACTAAACTTGTAAATTATGGATTTGTGGAAGAAAAGACATAAAGATGGATTTAAAAAGTGAAGGAAAAACCAGACTAATATATGGTATAATCATTGATACCTTTTTGTTTTCAATTTCTTTTAGGGTTTCTTTATTGAAAGATGCCCAGACTTAAGCATTTTGATTAGACAGTTGGTATATCTTAACTTAGCCTTCAATAGTTTACATATCTTTCCTCCAGAGGTGAGTCCGTTTCTAGTTATAATCCAGTTATAATTATTATTTAATACTGTTGTTAGTATTTGATTGTTAATCAGTTTCACAATTGGGAAAAATTTTCATTATAGTGTCCTATCTATATTTGCTGTGGAAGGGAATTCATAATAAGGTACCTTATAGCATAGATTCAATTCCAAATTGTTTAATTATTTAGGTACCAAAAAATATGGTGGCCCAGTGACATAGACTCTGAAGATAGGGTTATAGTTAAACTTTAGTGCACATTAATATGATTTAATAATGCCATGCAGTGACTGACATTATAGTTCCAACACCACAATAAAGATTAAAAAAACACATGACAATCAGAGGCCGGTGATGAAAAAAGGATGCCATATAATTTTAGCTAATTTACATTAATATCGGCTAAAACAAAATTTTCCTCCCTAGGAAATAACATTGATAGTCAAATACAGGATAGATCCTTTTGAAATACTCCTTTAAAGTTATATTGTATTAAATAGGTAACCTAGTCAAGTAAAAGAGATGATTACATTTACATCTTTCTTTTTTTTCTTGAATGAATTCAAGGTACATAAGAAATATCATTGATAGAGCAAATGTGCACTGTGCATTTATTTTTGTCAAATTCAATATGTCCAAAATGAGACCCATTATCTCTTCCCCTAGATCTGCTCCTTCACTTTACTTCTTTTCTCTCAAGGAGACCATCATCCTTCTAATCACTTAGATTCACAGCCTTGTGGTCATCCTCAACACCTCACTCTTTCACCCCTTATATCCAATCAGTTGCAAAGTCTTGTTGATTCTACCTACAAATCTTTCATATTCATGCCCTTGTCTACATGGCCACCACCCTCATTCAGGCCCTTACTCCTTCTCACCTATGCTATTTCAATAACCTCTTAACTGGTCTCCCTACTTCTGTATTGAGTTTTCAGTCAAGCTATAACCTGGTGAGATTTATCTCTGCAATCTGTCATCCAGGAAGCTACCCACCCCCCACCTCAAAAAAATCTTCCTAAGGCAGTCCAATCATGTGAACAAAAATAAGGAAGTTTTGAAGAGGGGCAAGATAATGAATTCGATTTTGAAAATACTGATTTTGATGTGCCAGTTGGATGTCCAAAAAGACACATGCAGGCAGTTGTTGATACATGCCTGGAATTCAGAAGAGAAATCAAGTCTTCATTAAGGCTCTTGGACAGTTCTGGGAGTCACATTGGTAGAAATAGTAATTTAACTCCTGGGAGCTAGTGGCAGAGATAGAACGTAAGAGAAAAAAGCTAAAAGAATCGTAGGGAACGCCCACCATAATAGACAGGAGATGGATAAAGATCTAGCACAGGACACTAAGGAGGAGTGGTCAGAGTAGAAAGAGGAGAATCAGGAGAGAGCAGTGTTACAGAAACCAAGGGAGAAGTATCCAGGATGAGGGGATGATCAACAGAACAGTATCAAAAGGATGAAGGAGAATAAGAACTCAGAAAAACGCTGCTGGATTTATCAGTTAAAAGATAGTTGGTAAACATGGTAAAGGCGGTTTCATTGGAGTGCTGGGTCCAGAAGCCAGACTGGAGGGGATTGAGAAGTTAGTGGGGTGGTAAGGAAGTAATAGCAGTGCATGTAAATGGTTCTTTAGAGGAGTTTGGGGGTTAAAAGGAGAAATATAGGAAAATAGATTGAGGGGATGTCAGAGTCAATTGAGGAGTTTGTTTGTTTGTTTGTTTTTTGGGGTTTTATTGTTGTTTTTTGTTTTGGGGTTTTTTTTAGGCAAGTGACTTGCCCAGGGTTGCACAGCTAGTAAGTGTCAAGTGTTTGGTCTGAGGCTGGATTTGAACTCAGGTCCTGCCTGACTTCAGGGCCAGTGCTCTCTCCACTGTGCCACCTAGCTGCCCCTCAATTGAGGCGTTTTGAAAAGCAGGGGAAAACCTGAGCATGTTTACAGGCAACAAGGAAAGAACCAGTAAATAAGGAGAGATTAGAAATGAGAGAGAAAAAAGGAAAGATTAAAAAGGTCCAGCTTCTGAAAGGGACAGGGGTTGAGATCATAGGTAGAAGGACTGGTTCTATGGAGAAGGGCCACCTCTTCTTCATTGACAGAAAGTCTAGAGGAGAAGAAAAGGCTCAGGGCTAGGGGCAGATAAGTGGTGCAGTGAAGAGAGCACCAACCCTGAAGTCAGGAGGACCTGAGTTCACATCTACCCTCAGGCACATGTGACCCTGGGCAAGTCACTTAACCCTGATTACCTGGCCAAAAAAAGAAGTAAAAAAAGGCAGAAGGCTGACGTGATGAATGTAAAATATCATCATGGGGAAGGGGAATTAGGCTTGTTCAGGTTTCTCTGAGGTTCAGACTTCACCTATTTGCTATAGGTGGGGAGAAGGGGAGGTAAATTGTCCCCCTCACTGAAATTATATGTCAGTGCTATTTCTTTTTCCTCTTATTGATCCTTTGGGGCCCAGCTCAATGACCATCTCCTTTACTAATAATGGTTAACATATATATATGTAAAGCTTTACAATTTACAGTATGCTACATGGAATTACATCTTTTGGTTGTCATGAACATCCTTGTAAAGTAGGTGCTCTTAACTTTCATTCCTTTTTATAGATGAGGAAAGTGAGGCTGGAAAAAATTGAATAATTTGCCCAGAGTCACACAGCTAATAAATATGTGAAGCAGGATTCAAATTCAAGTCTTTCTAAGGATTCAAGTCCAGCACTCTATCCACTACACCACATAGCTGCCTCTTCACAAACCCCTCCAAAAACCCCTCAAATGAATATAATCTCTTCTTAATTCCCCTTAGCACTCTTTTTGGATTTTTCTCTAGCAAATCACATTCTACCTTATAATATGCTTATTTTATTTCCACTTATTAGATGTCCATTTTCTTGAAGTAGATCTTACTTATCTTCGAATTCCCAAATGCACATAGTAGAGTGGCAAACAGATTGCAGTTACTCAATTAATATCCATTTATTACATGAATGAGCAATTTATCCAGTTTATCCAGTATTCTTTAGACCAGAGAGGGACCCCTATACTGGGGTGTCTGATTCAGTTTCACAGACTGTAATCCTGTTAGCTGGGCACTGTTGATAAGCTTTAAATTGGGAACACTATATAGTAAGAAAAATTTAAAAAAAAAATTTGTGTGAGGCATTTGGGGTTAAGTGACTTGCCCAGAATCTGTTTGATTCTGGTGAATGTTATGTATCTGAGGTCAGATTTGAACTCAGGTCCTCCTAACTCCAGAGCCAGTGCTCTATCCACTGTACCACCTCACTGCCCATAAGTTAAAAAAAATAATGCATGATTTGTCAGAGTCATGAATATACTAGAAAATGATTCATTTTAAGTTTCACTATTTTATGTTGAAAGGATTTCACAGTTCTAATTGTAAAATAAATGTACTCTATGAACTTTCATGATTTCTTTAAATATATTTGCAATGTACTAATGAAGATAGAATATTAAATTTACTTCATTGTACTGATCCTGCTTTTTCAAGAACCATTAATTCAGCAAGTAAAAAGTAAAGAATAAATTACATGTATTCTTTCTATTTCCTTATCCTTTTTCTATTCTGTAGGTGTTAGTTTTGATTAACTTACAAGTCCTGATCATGAGAAATAATCCTATCAGAGAGATCCCTTCTGAAATTGAAGAATTAAAGGACCTTAAAGTATTTGTCATTTCCTTTAATTTGTTAACTTCTCTTCCAAATGGGTAAGGTTGAAAATAACTAGATACACAAGAATAATTTTTGGCTTATATACAGTAGGCATTTAATAAAATACTCATTGAATGGATGAATGAATGTGTGACTGATTTAAAAGTAGACCATTCTTTGAATGACTCCTAGCTTGGTGCAATGGAAAAGAGCACTAGTTAACTAGTACAAGTTAGAGATCTTGGGCCTAAATCCAAGTCTTTTAACTCATTAAATGCATGGCCTTGACCAAGTCACTTACCCTATCTGGGCCTAAATTTCCTCATCTATAAAAATGATTCTATGATGTAGTCCTCTATGACCTGTCCTGGTTACCTGCTCTGCTTCATAATATATAGTCTACTGACTGCATATACTGCAATTAATTATACTTAATCCACTTTCTTGGTACTGATTGAGTAAGTCATGTGGGGGAATTTCAATTCATTTTTAGGTCAGTACTTCAGCAAATGTGACTTGATTCATGTGATATGCCAACCAGATACTCCATCCCCAGATGTATATCACAATACATAGAGCACTGGACCTGGAGTCAGGAAGATTTAAGTTGAAATCTGCCTCAGATCCTTGTCAGCTATGTGACTAGACAAATCACTTAACCTTTGTCCAAGTTTTTTCATTTGTAAAATGGGGATCATAATTGCACCTACCTCCAATGGTTGTTATGAGTACTACCTAGCTATATGACCTTTTAAATACATTACCTCGTGACTAAAGAATTCATCAGCCAGATGTCACCTTGGTGATATACTTAACCTAGGCTGACATGACAGACATACAGCCCATCACTGGACTTATGCTCAAAGTCTTTCCATCTTTATGGGATCTGCCAGTGCTTTTTAAAATCTAGGGTCACTTTAATGTTAATTCTTTAAAACTTTGTAGTGGAGAAATTCTTAAACCCAGTTATAAAAACTGTTTACAAGGGTTGTTTACATAAGCTACATGTACAGAGTGTTTTGCAAACCATAAAGTGCCATATAAATGATAGATATTGTTATTTTTTTAGTCTCTGAGATGAGTTTTACTAATTTCTACCTCTTTGTGGGGTCACCATAGTCTTAGGCTCTGCTTTTGTTTTTGTGGTTCTAGAATCTTAGTTACAAATTTTATGTGGGATTGATTAGACCCAGGAAAAATTATATCTTCAAACTCTAGATGAGCCCATGAGTCCCCAGACCATTTCTCTGTCTCTTATCTGGCAATATTCTCATGTTTGCAATGCCTCTGCCCCTACAGTCTCTTCCTCAAATTGGTGAATTCCTCCAGAACCTCAATTTGAGGAATTATATCCATAAACCAAGTATATATTTTTGGGACAATCAATGAGTTGAGCCTTGACTTGGAATGAAAGAAGAGCTTGGCATGAATCACATTTTAAAAATAATGCAGGGCTATCCAAAGCTACTCAGTGCCATGAAATTAATGGTTTTCTGTTGATGCTTTTATGGCTGTTAATCATAGAAAACCATGGTGTCTAAAGAATCCAAATTTCAGGTGATCTAATAGATGAGGAGAAGGCACATGGTAGGTATAAATAACCTGCAAAATATTACCAACAATGACTTGTTTGCAAGAAGTAGAATGGCACAAAAACATAATAAAGGAACTATATGCTTGGAAAAGGAGGTGAGCTAGTTGTGACAATATTTAAAAACTTGAAGGAAGGGCTCCAATGCATCCAGTAGATTTTTCATGGAAGGATATAAATAAGAATTCTATATCTCCATAAAAATACAATTCTGATCATTCATTATGGCATGGAGGTAGCTTTGGGTTCTTGAACGCTATGCCAGGAAGTCAGAAAAAGGAAAGGCCAAGATGGCAGACAAACAGGAAGAACCACAGCCAAGCTCTCTCCCTCAGCCACTCCACAAAGATTTTTTTTTTAAATGTACAGTCTGAAATCACATAATTAGGTGTGCAAGAAGAATACTATATTAATAAGGAGAAAGGGCAGAGTGGAGGAGGGGATACTTGAACTTTTATTCTAAACTGATCAAAGGGGGAAAGATTATATGTAGTTGGGTGCAGGGGGAAAAAGAAGAAAGGAGAGAAGGAGGGATCAGTCCTAAGAAAAACAAACTCTAATTATGGAGGATGAACTGCAATGAGGAATTTAAAAGGAAAGAAAGGATAAGAACCTGTGATTGGGTTCTAGATGAGAGAAAGAAAAGAGAAAGAGACTGCAACAAACCTAGAATACTGGTAGTTCGTGCATTCCATCTCTCTCACCACCCACTTTTCAGTAAAGAGAGAGCTTGAAAAAAAATGAATGGAGAGAAATATATAGTTAACAGGCAGTACTGTGAATGTAAATGGGATAAATTTACTTATAAAAGAAACAAGGATAGCAGAACAGACAGAAAGAAGATCCAACAATACATTTTTTTTCTTTACAAGAAACATACTTGAAGCATAAAGATTTACAAAAAGTAAAAAGGGGACTGCTTCAGATGATGTTAAAAAAAAAAAAGGCAGGGGTAGAACTCATGATCCCAGACAAGGCAACAGCAAAAATAGGCTTAATTAAGAGAGATAAATAGGGAAACTAGATTTTGCTTAAAGGTCATAGACAATATCAATACTAAATATATGTGCAATGAACAGCATCCAACAATACTGAACAGCGGTAAACACTTTCTAAAAATAAAGAAAAAGTTAAATGAATTACTGGGAGAAATGGAAAAGTATGCCATCAGAGTATAAATTCTGGTAGATTCTGCCAAGTAAAGACTTCCTATGATAAACTTTTGGCCTAGGACAGGCCAGTTGTGCAAAGAAAAGCTCGTCATTAGTATGCCACTAAGTATAAGGAAAAATACAAAATGGCTTTGAGGTGTATGCAGCTTCCCTCTGTTTCTACAGAGATAGTAACACAAAAACAAGTCTTAAAGCGTTTATTCAGCTTTGGCTAGGTCAATGTTTTTGATAAAGTTTACATTAGAAAACAAAAGGATTGTGAATGTAAGGTTCCACATTAGTGCCAAAAAGATAGAAGTAACTTTGACAAGCATTCTGAAGTGTTTTTAGGTATTCAGAGATTTATCTTTTCAAAGAAATTGATAGGATTTTATATCTCAACTCCATCTTGGTAAAGTTCTTACCCCAGAATTTGAAAATTTACAAGGATATCAGCTTCTACTTTCTTCTTCTATATCAGCTTCTTATCCAGAAATATTGTCATTTTTCATTAGCATCCATAACAGTGACTTCAGTACCTTGAATTGAAAGATATTTCATTTGTATGGTTAAAAATATCTTCTAGGTAAGCCAATCCATGGGTAAAATCCTTCCTGTCAAAGTCCTGAGAGAATGGGTTTTCTTTTTGGGGAGTGCTCCCTGATGAAGGAACACAGGTACTGACTCTTGTAAGCTAACAGATACCCTCTCCCCACCCCCTTTGGGAAAGTTCTTATTGGCCTAGGAATAGGGGAAGCTTCCCATTCAGGGGACTGACTAAGGACAGAGTTGGAGGTCTTATGTAAGGCATATAAGAGGGAAGGTAATCTTTTCCCCACCTGAAGGAATTTACGGTATCATAAACTAATTAGAGACTAAATTTGTGACTGAAATATAAGTTCTTTACTGTGAATTTCTAAGTTGTGGTTTGAATGTTTTTATAAGTGCTAACGTATCTTAATGAGTTCTAGGGTACCACTCTGTAAAATTTGTTTTAAGGAAAAATAAGAATAAAACTTTGTGAAACTTGTATGGAAACACAATTAAACCCTTTATCACTCTTTCCCTGGAGAGTGTCAGATTTATTGTTTTATTGCAAGAGGGAAAAGTGATTTCACTGATTAGAGAAAAGAACAAAATAGGTTTGCAGTTAAATTTTTAAACTGCCTATTATTAACTTTTCTTGACTATGAAAAGAGAGAAGCTTGTATAAATCAAGGAACAACTGAAAAGTATGAGGAATATAAAATCCTCATGAACCTTAAAAGAGGGGAATGAGAATGTGAGACTGCCACTTTAAATCTTGGATAGTAGACTAATTGAAAGTAGTGGGTCCTATGATATGAAGTTCTGACAGTAAATGGCCCTGGGAAAATTGAGATTCTGTGTGATACTGCTTATACATATAGATCCAGATGTGATTGAATGTATTCTAGTCTCATCTTAAATGAGCTATGTTCTCCTGTTAGGATAATTGTGATGTTTGTTCCTCTATAATATCAAGTATTAATGGAAAGACCCTTAATATTTGGTATTGAAGCAATATGTGTGTTGTTGTTCAGTCGTTTCTGTCATGTCTGACTTTCATGACCCCATTTGGAGTTTTCTTGTCAAATATACTAGAATGGCTTACCATTTCCTTTGACTCATTTTACAGATGAGGAAATTGAGGTAAACAGGGTGAAGTCCCTTGCCCTGGTCACACAGGTAGTTACATGTTTGAGGCCAGATTGAACTTAGGTCTTCATGACTTTGGGCCCAGCACTCTTATCTTCTGAGCCATCTTGCTGCCTGGGCAATATGTTTAGAAACTGCGAAAGTAAGTTTTGTTAAAGGCATAATAGGATCAAAATTACTCTTTATTGGTCTCGAACGTAATCAGTACAGAATGCCAAGATTGAGAAAATGAATGAAGTGATTTTCTATGTAAGATAATTTGGAAATGTATTCAACTAAATTGATGTCATCTGACTGGTAATAAATTTTGTTTCATGTTTTAAATACATAATATCTTGTATGTTATTAATGTTTCTAAGTGTTTTTTTTTATATTATAAAATTTGTAAAGCCATAGTATCAGAAATGCTGTTGGAAAAGTAACTTCTCTTTAATCTGGATTGTTAGATTATGAATTGAGCTATTAAAGGAATATGGTCAAAATGTTTGGAAAATGTTAAATATTTTATGGGATATATTTTGCTTTGAAATGGATAGTAATAATAACTTACTGTTGGGAGGAAAAGTGGCAAAGTCCTCTTTAAGTTATCCTTGTCTGTGAAGTTTCTTGGGACTTTCTGTTTGAAAAGGGTCATAAGATATTAGCCCTCCTGATCTTGTATTGTAATATTCTAAAGTACTGAAATCTGAGAAACTAGAAACTTAAAAGTTAACTTAAAGTGAAGAATGAGTTTCACCTAAGATTATTGGGCTATCACTTAGGAAAATTATGAAATTGTATGTATAAATAGTATGTTTGTAGTATGTTTTATAGTATGTATGTATAAATAGTATGTTTTAAAGTTACATTTTGAACCAACTTAGTAACAATAGACTTTAGATTCAAAGATTTGTTTTTGCCTTCGGAGTAAATAAATAATACAGATATCTGTTAGTCTGGGATAGAGGCGGGGAACCTTCGGCCTCAAAGCCACATGTAGCCTTCTAAGTCCTCCAGTGCAGCCTTTTCACAGAATCTAAATTTAACTGTGAAGTTTGGGTACAGTCAAAGGGCCGCGCTTGAGGACTTAGAAAGCTACATGTGGCCTCGAGGACACAGGTTCAGCACCCCTAGACTCTGGGGACTTACAGTAGGAAGATTCTTCCTAGGGGATTTGAACCAACTATTATGTATACACTGTATGTGTGAAACTCCAAATGTGATTATTCTTAATTTGTAAATGAAGGATAAATGAAATGCTCTTATATTTGCTCATTATTAACTGTTGTTGAAATATGAGAAAAAATAATAATAACCTAGCCCTCAGCTATGATTAATGAAATTTTGCTATTTGGGGTAAAATCTGGTGGGACTGTAATATAATATTGTTCTAAGTTTTGATTTTGGGTATGCTTGGGTGAAGTGTCATTGAGCTAGTAGCCCACCATTCGAGGGAAATGTTATGTGCTGCCCAAAGGGGGTGCAGTCTGAGAACTACTACAGGTGGATGTTTATGTCTGGGAAAGTTGAGGGGATGACCTTGCATAGGAAAAGGTAGGATCCTCTTAACTCAGTTTCCCCATTGTGCTATTTTTTTTAACAGAACATTTTCTCACTTGTTTACTGTGAGCATGGCTATGATACCCTCTATATAATGTGGAACTTTGCTATGTGATGGGCTGTTAACTGTGACTCTTGCCTAGAATCAAACAGAGCTAAGGGAATTTTCCCCTGTTATAGACTATTGGCCTTGAGGGACAGTCTTGATATCATCATAACCATGTCCCTCCTTTTTCTTTCACAGCAAATTTCTATGATCAGGGTAGGTGAACAGTGGAAGTTTGTCATTGCAATACCAAATTTATTAATTAATAGATTAATACTAAAACAACTCTGAGTTACTATAACAAAATGCAAGTATGGAAGATCTTACTATTTTAATTTGAAGTTGTGGTCAATTCCATAGCGTAAGCAATTAAGTCGATGAGTTCTTGGGCTTTCTATCACCTTGCTAATGGTTATATATTCATGTATAATATTAGGTCCTTGAAGTATCTAATTCATAGGTTCCCAAAGTGGGTGATATCACCCCCTGTGGGGCACTGGAACAACTCAGGGGGGTGGTAGTTGCCTCAGGTGCAACTGGGGGTCATCGAATAAAAATAAGGAGGCCGAGAAAGCATAAGGAAAGAAGAGAAGAAAATTTTGAAAAAATATTTGTACATGTTTCATTTGTTGTGTAACAGAGTTAAAGTCATAGTGAGTATGCTATTTTCCAAAAAAAACCACACAAAATGCAAGTTATAACCAATCAGTGGTCAAGTCCACCAACAGGTCTTAACAAGTAAGTATTGGCAAGCAAGCATGTTGCACGTTGTCGGAAAGTCCAGCATGCATTGGCAGGAATGTGTGCATGTAATGACTTCTTTATAATATGATACTATATAGTTACATGATGTAATATTGAATCATAAAAATTTCAATGCAGGAAAAAATCCACAAATTTATAATAATTAAATTTAAGATATGTCATTTTAAAAAAATTATATATTTTTTGAAATAATGCAAATTAAAAAAAAAAACATTAGTTAAAGAAAGTAGCTTTCCAGGGGAGCACTGAGTAATTTTTTTTTGAAAAGGGAGTGGTAGGCCAAATAATTTTGGGAATGTCTGATCTAATTCTTTTAGGATCACTTGGGGATAATATTCTCAAAAGAAGGGAATAAGATGAAGATGTAAAAGTTTTCTAATTAAATGGAGTAATAAATGTTGAGAAAGCAACAGGGTCAGACAGTTTTCCCTAAAAACTAGAATACACACACACACACACACACACATGCACATATGTGTGTGTGTAGTGTGTATATGTATGTGTGTGTATATATGTATATAATTGGTTTCCAAATATGTTTAATGGGATATATAGGCCTTGCGTGTATTTTAGTAACAAGTTCTCAAAATTGGATTAAGGGTTTTACATATAAAATTGCATTTATAATTGCAAAGAAAGTGAGATTATTTTCCTACTGTGAAGTCTCTAATCATTTTAAGAGACAGAAGGGCTCATTTTCCAAGCTAGGCCCTCATGGATTTTTTTTTTAAGATTCTTCCTTCAGCCTGATGGCAGTGTACATATCAGGTACAGGGTTTCGGTGAAGATAGAAACAGCAAGTGGTATGTAAAAACTGAAATTCTCTGAAGTTTCAGGTAAATTATAGGTTCCTGATTTGACGTTTTTATAGCTCTGTGGTTAATAGGATTAGAACCATAAGACCTGAGCTGGTTTTCACCACATGAACTAATTATTAGAAAACCAAAGTTAGAGGGTGTACTAACAGATTTTAGCAGAATTACCTAGGAATCTCTACAAGTGATTTGGAATCAGAGATGCAGATCTACTAGGAGGAGCCCCTTTGGAGCTGCCCAGAGAATGAGACCTATTCAAGAATGTCCAAGGAAAGATGTTTCCAGGGACCAGACAAATACCTGGGACATCTGGGACTCAAAATGAAATGTGCTGATTAAATGGGAGTGGGTTACCAGGTTAGAAGGAGATTTGACATCATTGAATATTGATGATCATTATTGTATTGCTTTAGGTTTTTTTTGTTGTTTATTTGTTTCATGGTGTTTATGTTTGCTGAGTTTTCTTGGTTACCTTGGTGACATGTAAATGTCCCCTCTCAAATTAGGGTGAATCCTCTGAGTAGTCTGATTTGTAGCCTCACTTAATTTACCTATAGCATCTGTTTAAAAAGATTTGTCTCCTTAAGGGGATATATGAAATAATGACCCTTCTTGTATGCTTTGTGCTGCTCACATCACCCTGTTGATGTACCTTTCTGTCCAAAAATTCCATTTAGTAAGCATTTAAATAAGTGATCCTGAGGGTTGACAACCTCAGAGCAGGGAGGAGGAAATCTTTCTCCTCACAATATCTTCTCAATTTATCGATTCAGTTTATTGAAACCCAGAGAGTTTCTTTTTGTTGTTGTTGTTTTGTTGAAGGTGACTAAATTTAGAATAAATATATGTAGAATATATATTATATTATAATTATTTATAATATATTATATATATATATATATATATATATATATATATTAAAAGATGTATATATTTAAAAGATGCAGTGTAAAAGGAAGCCAAGATCTGAGTAGATGTATTAGCCAATCCTGATCCCAGAGACCAGGTGATGAAACACACATCCTTTCTTCCAAAATAAAAGTGGATTACTGTGGTGTAGAACAGTGATGTCAAAGTGAAATAGAAACAGGGGTCACTAATCTTCACAGAAGGATCCCTGTGGGCTGCATATTGACTTAGGTCAAAATGTAATATTGTTTCAGTTTTATTGTATTTTTATTTATTTTGTTAAATGTTTCCCAGTTACATTTTGATCTCATCCAGTGGGCCACTGCAGCCCTTAGGCCATGTGTCTGACACCTCTGATGTAGAGAGTGTAGACACACTCTCACTTACCATCACTGTGCTAGTTTATTGACTGTTTTTGTTTATTTGTTTTAAAGGAAAGATAGGGATTTTGTTGGAGTTGGGGGAAGTATAACTGAAAGTGACTATGATATAGAAACAAAAACAACAACAAAATTTTCTGGCAGCTTATAGCTATGCAAGCTTGAGGAAGTCACTTCAATTTTTTAAGCCTCAGTTTCATCATCTATAAAAACAGACATAATGATATTTATCTTGCCTACCTCAAAAAACTCCTTTTTTTCTTCTTTTTTTGGTGAGGCAGTTGGGGTTAAGTGACTTGCCCAGGGTCACACAGATTGTAAGTGTCAAGTGTCTGAGGCCAGATTTGAATTCAGGTCCTCCTAATTCCAAGATAGGAGCTCTATCCACTGCACCACCTAGCTGCCCCTTCAAAGAATTCTTGTGAGGCCCAAATAAGACAATGTATTTGAAATTGCATCCAAAACTACCTTTTTTTTTTTTAACCAGACTTGTGACTTAATTAGTATAGGGAGCTTCCAGTAAAGACCTTACTCTACAAATGCAGATCAGCCCCTTCCTTATAACCTCAAGTCTTAGAGTTGCCAGGCCCACTGAGGTTAAATGACTTGCTCAGGGTCACACAGGCAGTATGTGTCACAGGCAGAACTTGAATCCAGATCTTCCTGACTTTGAGGCCAGCTGTCTAGCTATTATACATTGTTGCCACTCTTTAGAAAAAAACAATTTCTATAACTTCTCTACATTCAGTGAAATTCCTAACATTCTTTTAATTCTGAATAAGTGACCACCACATAATTATTTTTATAGCATGCTGGTTTTCTCTCTTTTTAAGATTATTTGCGTTGTCTAAACTTGAGTGCCTGGATGTCTCCTACAATGAAATTACTTCTATTCCAAATGAAATCAAGAATCTCAGGTATTTAAAAAGCAGTAAATATAAATAAAGTTTACATATTTTAAACATATGTTTAGCCACAAAATAGAATTGTTCTTTTGGGGAGAATTTAATTTATACACTATATTTTAAGTAGTAATTTAATAGCAAGTAAAGATCGAATCGATGAAGTATTAATTCAGGAAAAATGTAAATTGTGATTTCTCTGTGGTTATCAAACAGTAAACATTTATAAAGTACCTACTATGTGCCAGGCACTATGCTAAGTGCTAGGATAAAAAGAAAACAAAAATTTCCAAAACTGTTTGAAAAAGAATCTTAATGACTGCTTAAGAATATTGAGTTACCTTTATTAATATTTAAATACTAATAACAGGAAGTTATTTCAAAGGACACTTACCCTTGAGATAGAGGAACCTAAGATAACAGCCTGTAAGTGAAAATGCTAGAATATATAAAAGGGACTTAGTTGATCTTAATGTGCCTTTTTTTTTAAAAGCTGCTTGCTGTCTAATGCATAAAGCTAAATTAGGCTAGTCCGATTTGACTTTTGCATTTTTTCGATGCATAATTGTCCCAGATGCTTTTCTGTCCGTTTCCAACTCTAGTTAGAAAAAAAGTGCTTTTGTACACAAGAGAATTGAGATAAGTGAGGTTTTTTTTTAAAAGAAAATTAGTAATGTTGATTTCCCTTTCAAGAAAGGGGAAAGGATTACATAAGCAATTACTACAGTATAAACAAGCATATTAAGAAAGGACTGTTATGCTGATGAGGCCAGGGATATCTTAATTTGACTGAACTTCAGAGCTTGACCCTTAATGTTTCAATTAATTTTATTTTTAGAGAGCCATTAGTTTTAATTTATTAATTATTAAGATATATTAAATATTAACATATTAACAATAATTATTAATTTAAAATAATTTAATTTTAGAGAGACATGTTTTACTGACTAAAATGTAATATCAAAACTGTAGGGTTTTGCTACTGACAAATATATTTGAAAAAAAGCAAAGAATATAGGCTAGATGGATAAAGAACAATGACCTTTCCTCCACTTATGGTTCTGGCTCAAATTTATGTTCATACAAAGCCAGAGAAGATATTGAGAGTACCCTAGGTCAGATAATTGTTTGTGACAAGAGACTATGATTAATCTTCATGTGAGGTCACTTTGCCTGGTTTCTTAAAGTAGATAGTCTTGCTGTGACTAAACAGTTGTCAAACTGTACTTAATAGGAAAGGGCTTTTAGTCACTACCACATAGTGTACCAAAGGTGAGGGCTAAGAGGTAATCCTGAAGAGATAAAGCCCAGAAGCTAGTGAGATAAAAGCATTGCCCAGAAAACTCCAGAAAAGCAGGAGAAAGATATTTCTAGTAGATAATGGAGGACCCCGCAAGACAGGTGATGATGCCCAGGCCCAGAGAGAGCAGTGATTTCACTGTTAGACATCAGAAGAGCTGCAGGATTGGGCATGTGAGTTGCCCCTTCACACATGTGCTTTGACCACACATGTTCCTAACATGTATGCCCCCTTGTGGGTTGCTCCTTATCTGTGCCCACTCTTCTCACTTATGGTGTAGGTATTTGTGGGAAAGAGTTCCCAAAGTTTGGGGAAAAGATGTTCTGTTACTATTCTTCTTACTATGCTATCTTGTTAAATGTCTTTGCTTTGAATTATGTCCTCTGGCTGAGGATACAATATTCACTATAAAAAGGTAAACATATAGGGGGGAGCTATGGTTTTGAGTGGATATGGACCCATAGAATATTGAATAACTCAATTGCTTATGAAAAAGTCAGCCAGAACTTGCTTCTAGAACACAGATGATATTCTCACCTTTACACTTAACCATTCTTCTGAATAATATCCCAAAGAATATGGAAACTGTAAGTGATTAAATTGGGACTTAACCACTCTAAGGCAAGACATAGTGTCTTATTAGGGAAAGAATCTCTTGAACCAGGAAGGACAACTGAACAGAAGAGTTTAGACCTCTATCACTTCCTACCTGGAGGTGACCAACCTTAGAGCTAAGACACTGAGAGTGTCAAGGAGGAGAGGCTTCTGCCAATCCTGGGCTAAATTAGGCCGTTGCCCTAGATGAAAAAAACATTGTAACTCCAGCTGAAAAAATCACAGAAGTACTAACCAAGGTAGTGATCCATAAGTCAACCCATTCACAGAAGTGCTTTCCCCTGAAAAAAGCCCATAGGCCAAGGGACCTGTCCAGCCTAGCCTGGCTGCTGCACCCCCAGTACAAGGGCTCAGTAGCAGACCAGCCTCCCTGACACCATCCAGGCCATTGCCAGGCATCAGAATGGCCTGGCTGGCCCAGTCCAGCAGCTGAGAGACCTTTCTGTCCCAGCCCAGAAGCTGCCGAGTTCAGTGACCAGTCATTCGGCCCTGCCCAGCCGTAGCACCTGTGCCCACTGAGGAGCCAGCTCAGCAGTGAACTGACCCAAGCAGTTTTGACACCATATTCTACAGGAGGCAAGTCCAGCTGAGCCACCCATCCAGCTGAGATGCTGTGTCCTGTAAGGAGCCAGCCTAGCTGAGCAGTGGAGAAACTCATACACTATTGACATCATGTCTCGCAGCGAACTTCAGGATCCTCTGGATAAATAAGGGACATTGAGGCCCTGCAGTTTTGGAGTTGTGACTTGTCTTGGCTATGTGTATTCCATATACATGTGCCTCACTAACATTGCACTTTAAATTCATACCCTCTCTTGTCTTCAAAGACTATTTATTTGTGGAAAAGTGTGCACCTGGTGGTATGTAACTACTGTTTTTGCCATACCATTTTACTAAATGCCTTTGTTAAAGAATTCAGTCTCTTAGCTGATTGTTAAGGGAATGTAAACTGGTGGGGATTCATAATCTAGTGTTAGGAGGATAGCCATGCACAGGTTACCTACTCATGGAATCCTGAGAGTAGGAGCACCTTCCCCACTAGGGACTCAAAACTTCAGGTGCAACTTGGAGGGAAAGAACCTGTAAGGGTGTTAACTCTTAGCTATGCAGTTCAGTTAGGCCTGAATTTTAAGCCTTTCCTGTCTGATAAGACCTCCCAGAGTTAGGTTTCTAGTTTACAAGACTTCTGAAAAACCCAGAGCTACTTCCAACCCATGGGTGTGAATGTTTTACCTGATTTCTTGATGGTTTACTCCTATAGTGCTGGACTCCATGTATTTGCTCTTTAGAAATTAGAGGTATACAAAGAAAGGCCCACCATGTATTAATGTACATATTTCACCTGAACTCTCACTCAAATTTTCCCATGGGTTAATAATCTGATTGGCAAGTGAAAATATAGTTCTGAGACTAATTCTGATTGCATTTTCACATAAAAATTCCATAGTTCTTATAGAATTCCAAGGAAACACCTGTGTTTATTATTTGTTATATTTAGTGGTCATCACATAAAGTGGGAATTATTAGTAACCATGGTTCTAGAGTCAGATTATAATCGGTGTTTAGCATTAGCAGTATTAATTGTACAAATGACTTTTAATCATGGTCTTTTTCTGCAGCAACCTTAACAATTTGAATCTTGAGGGGAATGAACTAACATCTTTGCCACCTGGAATTTTGAAAATTTCCCCAGATATCTTTATTATAGAAAATAACTTCATACACCCTTTGTTTTGGAATGAGAATTCAAAAAATGATGCTCAAAGCCTCAAAGATCTGGCTCTCGTGTCTTTTGTCCAAAATCAACTATGGAAATTTTATGAGGTGCTCCCGTCTGAAATTAAGCAACAACTAATCATGTAAGCAAACTATGGAAACTTTTTATTGATGACAATTATTCTTCTATTGTGTCCTCAAGTAAAATATTTGGTATAATGGAAAGAACACTACATTTGAAATTAAATGATCTGTATTTGAATCTAACTCTCCCATTAAGTTACTAATGTGACCTTGAGCAAATTACTTAACCTCTGGGTGCTCATGTTTCCTCATCTATAAAATCAAAGTGTTGGATTTCGCCAAGTGGTTTCTATTAGGTCATCTTATTAGACCTAGATGACTGCATTTGATATAAGTGCTTTTGATATAAGGTTAACTAGAAATATTCCTCTGAGTTTTCTTCTGATACCAAAGAATCAACCAAGTGGTTTCTGTACCTGCAAAAGGGAGAAAACCTTCCCTTAGCTCCATTCCTCCATTATTTCATGAACTGGGGCTTATTCTCTATGTAAGCTGGAAATCACTTAACTGTAGCTGGCAGACATTGCACAATTACCAGTTAAAACTTTCTATTGGGTCTCTGAAGACATGGAAGAAAGTATTGGAGTGGGTCCATAGGAGCCATTTTTCTGCGTCTGGGATACTGTGCAAAGAAACGTGTTCTTCTTTGAGCAGAAGAGTTCAATAATAGAGTAAGCATGCATGCAGAAAGCTACCACTGCTCTTTCACGGGAATTCACAAACTCACTACCATAGTTTGGTAAGCCCATTAAGGGCTTTTCGTCCATAGTTTTCTGATGGAAGCTAATTTTTCTCTAATCAGTTAGACAACTAAATTCCTAAATACTTAATTCTTAAGCATTTTTATATGTTAAATGATAGACAACTCTTTTTAATTGATTGGTCTTTATCAACCTTATGAGATAGGCATGGACGTAAACTGATCCCAGTGTGATCTAGTAATGAATCCAACTGCCTCACATTTATCTGATCCAAGTTTCCTTCCTAGTTAACATAATAACCCTAAAAAATTTAAGTAGAGGAAGAGAAAAAAGGATAGTAAGAAAAAGGAGGAAAGAAGATCAATTAAGCCAGGAAGATCATGAAGGAGTGATAAAATAAGCAGTGACCAGAGAGGCTTCAAGGCCAGACTCCCAAGGGAGAAAAGGCAATGCAAAGACCATAGCACCAGAATTTTTGCAAATGGTCAGAGGAAAAAAGACTTTGAGGGTCCCTGGTAATTAAAATGAACAGAATGCATCATCATACACAAGGAAACAGGAACGAACATCTGTTAGTAATTGGCAGATGAGGCTCAGGAATTTTAGGGAATAACCAGTTAGAAACTAAAGGCAAAACGTGATTAAGCATCTTTAAAACGAGGGACCTGGTTTATTTTTTTAAAGTCCTTTGAGAGGTTTTTTTCCAGCTGTAAATCTATGATCCTGTGATTTTTTTGCTAGTATGCTTATATACGACCACAGTATAGAATGTTACTGTGATTCAGATGGTTGAAAAAGTTTAAGGTAAGGCAAACTCTCTTTGGGACTCATTGCCCTTCTATGAGAGATGAACAAGAGTGTGAACTACAGCAGTACAGCATAAATTATATACATGTCCGGCATGCCAGGGACATTTCTGTGTTGCATTGAATAGCAGTAGCTAAAAGCAAAAGTGAATATAACTACAGGGAACCAGGACTGTTGTTCTTACTAGGCTAGGCATCACCCAATCTAGAGAGAAGCTTGTATATAAACTCTAAGGGTTTCTAACGGGAACAATGTCTGCTTACACCCAGAATATAATTATTAGTAGACTTAGCCTATTTTTAAGGGCAAGGCCTCCAAGATAGTTTTAATCCTTGTTGGCACAAATGGGAGGGTTTGGAATAACTTTTGAAATCAAAGTTGTCTTCCCACCATTCAGTAATCATTGTCATATTCATTTAATAGATGAAGAAAGTAAGATTTAGCTATTTGCCTAAACCCTGCTGGAATAAGAAGGCATGTTAGTTTACTACCTGTACAGGGTGCTTAAATAACATGTCCCTTTTTTTCTAGCAGAAATAGTAACCCTCCTTCCCTCCACCCCCCCAAAAAAAAACGTTGACTAGGCCATTTGGTGCATTCTTTTCAGAAGATGGGTCACTTTTTTGAGTGTCGCATCATCCTAACCCACCAAATGAGGCCGTACGCCATTCCAGGGCTTCTAAATTATCAGTTAAGTCTCTGGGCTACTCATCTACTATTGCACAGGTAACTGCCAACAGTCACTGGACCTGGAATTGCCCTGAGGTGAGGGAATATAAGCCAGACTTCACCTAAAATTGACTTGCATAGACAAGAATGCTCATGAAATCTCTTGACATACAACTTGTAGATTCCCCACAGTGCAATAAATCTGTGAAATACCAGAATCTTTAACTTTTCTTCTTTGGGAGTGAAAATGAGAAAAATCTCCAATTAATATTACTTCTAAACCTCTAGCCTCTTAAAACTTACTGCTTAGCTTTGACCTATTCTATATAGGATAACACATCTCTTCTAGATCAGATCTTGGACCTAGGCAGGGCTAGGCAAAGTAGACCTATTGAGCAGAAGTTGCAGAGGAACTCAAAAAGAAACTTTTCAGAATTCTTTTTAAAGTCTTTGCAGCAAATATCTCTCTGTGTTAAGGGTCTGATATCTAATATATATGTATTCATATATGCACATGTGTATACACAATACAGTATATACATATAGGTATATTACATACACATGTATATATGTGTATGTGTATATATGTACGTGTGTACACATACACATGCACAATTTTAAGATCAAGAGCAATTCTGCAATGGAAAAGTGGTCAAAGGATGAGGGCAAACAGTTCCCAAAAGAATTACAAACTGTTAAACTACCATATGAAAGGTTGTTCCAAATTATTAATAAGGTGATAAATGCAAATCAAAACTACTCGAAGTTTTACAGCACTCCCAGCAAATTGACAAAGATGACAAAGGATGGGAGTAGTAGATTCTGGAAGCACTGAGGTAAGACAGACACATTAAACTATATGCTGTTGGTGGAATTATGAATTATCCCAACCATCTTGGAAAGCAATTTATACCAAAGAAGTGACTAAGTTTTTCATACCCTTTAGTTCTAGAGTTCCCACTGCTAGCATCCATACTAAGAATACCAGAGAGAGAAAGAAAAAGTCCCATGTACTTCATAATATTTATGATAGTGCTTTTTGTAATAGCAAAGAAAAAGAAGGAAGGAAAGAAGGAAGGAAGGAAGGAAGGAAGGAAGGAAGGAAGGAAGGAAGGAAGGAAGGAAGGAAGGAAGGAAGGAAGGAAGGAAGGAAGGAAAGAAAAATGAAAGATAGCGAGAGAGAGAGAAATGGTAGGAATGGGAGGAAGGAAGGAAGGAAAAAAGGAAGAAAGGAAGGAAGCATCTATTAAGTGCTTACAAATATTATCTCATTTTATCTTCACAACAACCTTGGGAGGTAGGTACTATTATTATCTCTATTTTAAAGTTGAGGAAACTGAAGTAGAGGTTAAGTAACTTACCGAGGATCACATAGCTGGTAAGTTGGAGGCCAGATTTGAACACAGGTTTTCCTGACTACAGGCCCAGCACTATATCTACTGTGTCATCTAGCTGCCTCTAGGAAGCAAAGTAGATATCCACCAGTTGGGGAATGGTTAAACAATTTTTTTTTTGGCTAGGCAGTGGGGTTAAGTGACTTGCCCAGGGTCACACAGCTAGTAAGTGTTATGTGTCTGAGGCCGGATTTGAACTCAGGTCCTCCTGAATCCAGGGCTGATGCTCTATCCACTGCACCACCTAGCTGCCCCCGTTAAGCAAGTTTTACATGAATATATTATTGTATTGTAAGAAGTGGTGAATATGAAGACTGCACAGAAACATGGAAACACTTACACGGGTACAAATTGAGCTAGGCAGGTCAATGACAAACACAGTGACTACAGCAATGTATATGGGAAGAGCAAAATAACAAAACTGAATGCTGTATAATGATATTTTTTTCTAAATAGAGATCTCCCCTTGCCCCTGCTTTCCAGCTTCCTTTTTGTGCATTGTCTCTCTCCCCTCATTAGATTCTAAGCTCCTTGAGGTCAGATACTGTCTTTCTTTTTCTCACTTGTATCCTCAGCACTTAGCACAGTACCCTGGCACATAGAGGGCACTTAATCAATCTTTATTGAATTGAATTGCCTTTTCTTCCTCCCATTCTCTCCCTATGTATACACACTGAGAAAACAAGAAAAACACCACCACCACACCCTGTAGCAAACAAGTATAGTCAAGTCAAAGAAATTTCTGTATTGACCATGTTGAGAAAAAAAAAAAGTTTCAATCAGCACTCCGAATATCCATCTCCTGATGGGTAGCCTGTTTCATCATCAGTCCCCTGGAATTATAGTTGGTCATTTTTTTGTCCAGAATTTCTAAGACTTTCATAGTTGCTCTTCTATACGATATTGTTGTTGTTGAACGAATTGTTTTCCTGGTTCTGTTTATTCCACTTTGCATCAGTTCATACAAGCCTTATCAAGTTTCTCTGAAACTATCCCCTTCATCACTTTTTACAGCATGATAGTATCGCATCATATTCGTATACTATACCATGTTCAGCCATTTCTCCATTGATGAGTGCTTTCTCAGTCACCAATTCTCAGTATCACAAACAGATATTCCATAAATAGTTTTGTGCATATAGGTCACTTCTCCCTTTCTTTGATCTCTCTGGAGCACAGACCTAGTAGCAATATTGCTGAATCAAAAGGTATGCACAGTTTAACAGCTTTTGGGGCCTACTTCCAAATTGCTTTCCAGAATGTCCAGACCAGTTCATAGATCCACCAATAGTAATTAATGCACCTATTTTCCCATAGCCCCTGTAGCGTTGTAATTTTTACTTCTTTAATAACTTTGCCAATCTGATGGGTATAAGGTAGAACCTCAAAGTTGACTTAACTTGCATTTCTCTAATTACTAGTGAATTAGAGCTTCTTTTTCAAATGACTATTGATAATTTGGATTTCTCATTTTGAAAACTACTTATTCATATCCTTTGACTATTTATCATTTGACTCTTATAATCTTCAATCAGTTTATATGTTTTATAAATGAGACCTTTACCAGAGGAATTTGCTGCAAAGATTTTTTTCCCCCATTTATCTGCTTATCTTCTAATGTTAGCCACATTGGTATTAAAATTGTTTCTTTTGCCCTCTGTGATACTTTCATTCTATTTTGGTCATGAATTCTTCCCCTCACCATAAATACTATAGGTAACCTCTTCTTTATTCCTAATTTGTTTATGATTTTACCCTATATGTCCAACTAATATATTCATTTAGAGCTCATATTGATCTATTGTGTAGAATGTTGATTTATGCCTAATTTTTGCTAATCTACTTTCCAGTTTTCCCGACATTTTTTAAAAATAGTGAGTTCTCATCCCAGTAGTGAGATCTTTGGGTTTACCAAACACTAGGGTGCTGTTCTCAGTTGCTTCTTTATGTTGTTATCTAATTTGTTCCTCTAATCAACTTCTCTCTCTTTTTAACAAGCTGTGTCAGAAGAAGAAATACGAGAATGTATTCCCCCTACTTACCTTGCGGAGGTGGGGAGTTATGTGTGTTCAAAATCATATACATTTTTAAATTCCTTTGATATGTTGGTTAGTTTTGCCGAAGGGCTTTTTTCCCCTTCTTTCTTTTTTATTCTTTGTTACAGGATGTGGCTTTCTGGGTAGAGGAGGGATATATTTGAGAATTATTATGTAAAAACAAAACAAATGAAAAATTTGAAAGTATGAAATATTATTTTCTGTAAATGTGCATGGCTTTCATACCAGAAAATTCTATTATCTATGGCATATACTTACATATTTTGTGAAGAATAAAATTACCTATATTAGGACAACGAGGACTCCAGTCATCTAGTAGACATTAACAGCAGAGAGGAACCACAAATTTCAAATGTAGGAGGGTGAAATTTCAAGAACCTTCTCTAAAACACATAAATTCCTTTTTTCTGTTTTATTTTGTTGTTATTACTGTGAGTTGCAGCTTTGAGTTCTCATTAGGACGTGGAAAATCTCTTAATGTCTCTACTGAAATAAGATCACAAACTCATAGGATCACAGGAATTAGAGCTAGAAGGAACTTGTCTTTGGCATTATTTGTCTTACCCAGGCCACAGGGCTGATTGGATGCATGCCATTAATGATTTTAAAAGTTTAAGTAGCTTTTAGTCTTCAGGAGCCAGGACAGATAAGCTAAATGCTTTTATTTTGGTGGGGAAGAGGAGAATTTTACATAAACTAATATCAAGAATAGTGTTTGATATGTGAAGAACTGTTATTCTTATGGGGACTTTTGTTGTTGACCTGTGTGTATCTCCATAAGTGGGGACCTAGAAAACTGCATTTGTGTATCCTTTGCAGAGTGTTTGTATTTAGTAATTTAGTTTGTATGGGGGGGGGGGGCGCGTTCTTTTGTTTGTATCTAAAAAAAAAATACTTGACTAATCAATTCATTCTTTCCAGATTGTGAGTTTGGGTTTGGGGTCAGTTGTAGTTGACCTAAGATAGGACTTAATGAGTCATTTAGTCCAGTCCCCTCATTTTTCAGATGAAGGAACAGACCCAGAAAAATGACATGACTTCCCCAGGGTAACATGGGTAATTACTGGCAGAGTTACCGTTTAAGCCCAAGTCTTTGGACTACAAACCTTTCAATTACCCATTGTTGCCTCCCATTTTAAAATTAATCACATAGTCAGGATAGACTATATTTGTTGGCTTGGTTTTGTGATGTTAGCTTGAAATAATATCATAATTATAAATAATAATAAATAGTAGCCATAATAGAATACTTGAAGGTTTCCAAAGCACTTTACATATGCTGTCTCATTTAATCCTCACAACAGTTCAGGGAGGTAGCTACTATTATTATCCTCATTTTACAGATAAGGAAACTAAGGCTGAGGGAGGTTAAAACATTTGCCCAGAGTCACATAGCTACTAAGTTTCTGAGGAAGAATTTGAATTCAGCTCTTCCTGACTGCAAGTCCAGTCTTCCATATACTGTGCCACCTATCAATAATAAAGAATGCTATGGTTATTGTTATTTATGTCACTTATGTAAAACAAATGCAGCCCGAAAGTGATTTCTGTCCCACACTTAGCACAGTGCCTTGGCCGTAGTAGGTACTGAATAAATATTTCACTGAATTGAAGTGAATCTAATGTCTGTCAGTCATACTGCAAGAGAGAGACAGACAGGGATAGAGAGAGACAGAGACAGACAGACAGACCGAGGAGACAGAGGGAATAACTTCGGAAATGTTACTTCAGGCACACAGCAAGGCTGAACTTAGAGCCAATTCCTCATTATTGTTAGACAGTTGGGTATTGCTCATAAATTACTGAAAGCGTAGCTCACCACACCAGATGTACCAAGGGAACACATGCTGCTGGTTTTCTTTCCCAGACCATAGTCCCACAAAGCATAAGAATGCACACATAGCTAAAACATATTACCTACTACCACAACTAAACTGTTTCTCTACTGCAAAAATCCCAGCTGACCCTTCTTTTTTCTTATAGTACAGTGGAAAGAATAGTAGCCATTGAGTGAGAGGCCCTGGGTTCAGATCTTACCTCTGACGCTGACTCTTCCTTCCCTAGACGTCTTCTTCCTCATCAGTAAAAGAAGAGGGTTGGACTCAATGGCTCCTGAGATGCCCTCTAGCCTGTGATCTGTCATCTTCATATTCTAACCACTGGTTCTGCCATGTCATAAAGAGACCGGTTGAAACCTCAGTGCCAGTGATGGTTACCTCGCTTCACTTGTTTAAACTCGTGGGTTGTTTGTAGTTTCCATAAGTATAGAAATTCTCAGGCCTTCTCCCAGTGTCATCAATAACAAATGTATCTTCCCCCATCATCGGCTTTGGCGTTGCCTTCTCCATCCTGCTAACAAAGTCTGGAACTTGTACCTTGCTGCACTTTTACATTGCCATTGGGTGCTTGCATCGTTTCCCTCTGGTAAAAGCATAAAAACAAAAAGGACTAGGAAAAGAAAAGAATATTCCAGAAAAAAAGGAACAGAAATGTCCTCACTTTGCCATTTTTCCAACACAAGTTGTAAAAAAAAATTTTAGAACGCTTGATTTAGTGTGGCAAATGAAGATGTTTTATGCAAAGTATCTAACACTGAAAGAAGGACCATATTGTTCTTTCCTGTGATGACTTCCAGCATTAATTCCTTTCTTTTCTTCATTCTCCTAAAGTCTTGTCAAATCTTCAGATCTTTCTCATTACACATGATAAGTGCTTAATAAATGCTTGTTGACTTCTCACAGCTGTACCTTTTGTCCAAGCCTAACCAATTCATGTTGGTTATTTGTATTGGTCTCACATCTAGCTTCCTTGCTTTGAAAATCATCTAACTTGAGATTGGCCTACATAGATAACAAAGCATCTTCTTTGATCAAGAACCAGAGAGTGGTAAGAAACCTCTAAGAGATGACTCACTCATCATTTTTATCTGTCCCTCTCCTATAATAATTATAGTTCTATGGTCTATAATAATTATAGTTCATTCATATCAAAACCAAATTTCTCTAATAAATTCCATGCTTTAAGACTTGTCACCAGTGGGCACTACCGCTTTTTCCCCTTCTGCCAACCTAACTTTCCATATTTTCTCCCCTTGAAGTGTTCACTCCAACCAAGCCTACCTGGTTATCCTTGCACATTGAACCACTAGACCTGCCCTGGGAAGGGTCAGTGGCCTGAAATGTGCCATCTTTGGACATAACAGAGGGAAATGTTAAATTAATTTTAGTAGTCAGAAGCCCATGGAATCAGTTTGTGTTGATACCAGTATTGTGTAAGTTGGTTACTATGAAATATAGCTGTATAGTGATTTTGTTTCCTAAATGTGAAATGCTTATTGTGGATACCGCTCAGTTAGAAATTAATCACAAACTGCTCTATGACTTCTCCTTTATTGCTGTTTTAAATTGTTATTCAATTTTAATTCTCTTCTCTTTTCATGTGCACCTAGGTGGCTCAGTGGATAGAGCACTGGCCTTAAATGAGGAAGACTCGAGTTCAAATCCAGACTCAGACATTTGTTAGCTGTGTGACCCTGGGCAAGTCACTTAACCTCTGTCTGCTTCAGTTTCCTCAGTTGTAAAATGAGGATAATAGTAATGTATACCTCCCAGGGTTATCGTAAGGATCAAATGACGTGATATTTATAAAGCACTTTGCAAGCCTTAAAGCACTATGTAATTGCAAGTTATTATTATTTCTTTTTATCTTTCCAACTACATTTTAAAATCACTGAGGCCAGGGATCATATCTTTTGTTTCTTCGTATTGTCTATGGTACTTAAGAGCATCCTATGTAGTAAACATTCAGTGAATATCAAGTAGTTTACAGATTTGATTTCTCTGTTTCAGCTTTAATGTGTGTGACTACTGCCAAGGCCCTTTGTATGGCAAAGGACTTCATCTCATTCGACCCTTTGATGTTTTTAATATTCAGCTCCTTCCCATCTTGTTTAATGTCTGCTCTCCAAGATGCTACAGGTACACAAAGCGTGATCCAAATATCTTGAATCTTTTGACCAGACGATATTAAAGTCATGCCCTTGTTAAGAAAACAGAAGTTCTACTTCCTGAATTGGGAAATTTTGCAGTCTACAAGTTCTAGTAATATCTCTTAAGGAATCTAACTTTGGTGCAGTTACTGTACTTCAAAATATGGACCTATTAACCTGAATCTTCTGTATAATCCAGGAGCTTTATACAAGTTTATCATTAATAGGAATCACTGGCTATTTCTGAAGGAAGAATTTGTGTCACTGGAAAATATGGAGACAAGGATAATTTTTTTTTCGTTATATATTCTACGTAATCAGAAAAATGTATTATAATCTCTAACAATAAATGTTTTCTGCGTTTAACCTTTTTACCTATAACCTGCTTCTAAGTTAAGAAACAAGTGTGTGATAATGAAATGTGATTTATGCTCATTATGGTTTCAGGTTGCTGAATCTGTGATCTCATCATTTTGAACTACTGTATATAGTGTCTAAAACATGGGTGTATCCAGTCCCATCTGCACATTGAATGAACTTTATATTTAGCTTTATTTTTGCTTTTGTTTTTAAAAATAATTTATTGTATATGTCTTTAAATGATAACAAAACCAAGCATACATTTATAATTACTTATTCTTAAAATATATGTTATAATGTATAATATGTCTATAATAGCTTATCTTCTCCCATTCTCTATTTGTTCCTTTATTTTTGTATTTCTGTATACTGTATATACATTTTTCTATTTACATAGTTGTAGTTTGTGTGTATACTGCTCTCTGGGTTATGCTTTCCATTATACACATATTCCTTTATAAGATATGTTGATATTACAGATGATTAAGTCATTAACAAATATTTAGGGGCTGGGTTGGGGTTTTTTTTTGCTATTTTAACATATGATAGTATTTTGATAAGGATAAATGTAAGGATTAGACCTGTGGTTTCATTGGTATGGGAACTCAGAGTAAGGAGTCTCAGGAAGACATAGATTCAAATCCTGCCTCTAATGGGTACTGGTTATGGGAATCCAAACAAGTATTTTGATATAACATAAAACTGAAAAATTTATTATGGCATAGAATCAAAATGACAACTAAGGTGGGACACCAGGAGGTTTGTCTCAAGTTCCCCATTTTAGATATCATTAATAGCACTTGCTATCATTTAGAACTAGAAATAAGAGAATTTAGTGCCTGGTTAGCAAGAATAATAAATTTTTAAAAGGAATCAGTCAACTATGGTAAGCTCCTTTCATGTCCTCCTCTTCTCCTCTTTCCCTCCACCCTAGGCTCCCCAGAAGCCCACCCCTAACAATTACAGGGTAGTCCAACTTCCCACAAATTAGGTAGGCAAATGATAGCTAGATAGATACATAGCTAGGTAGAAAGATAGACAATAGATTTACAGAGCACTTAGCAAATGCTAATTGCTAAGAATAAAAATACAGCAAAGCAGTCTTCTCACTAAAAGAGCTTACATTCTAATGGGGAAGACAGTACCTAAAGGGGATCTAGATAGGGGGAGGAGGGAACAGATAATCAGAAAGTGGTATAGAGGCCTTGTTCTATGAAAGACGTGGTTAAAGGTCATCTGTGGAGTTCTGATTCCACTTCTTGTGGTCTTATCATCCCTCTTCTCTAGCTCCAGACTCAGCTGCAGTTCTTGGTTGAGATATCATTCTGTTCTTTCAGAAAGAGCAGTGACCTCTTAACCTAGGCCTGGCAGAAGCCTCCTCTATTCTGCTCCCTAGGGGCGTGTATAGATAGAGGGCATATCCTTAACCAAAAGAAAGGAGGAAGGTATCACACCCAGGAGTCTTGGTCTTAGCTTGGTCAATAGCTCATGGTTCCCAAAGAATACAATAGGAGGGGAATCCCCTGTCAGTAAAGCACAGGGTTCAGGCCTTTGGCATTTGCTCTCTTTGTTTTATAAAGGTGGAGAGTCCTGCCTGTGAAGGTATGACTGCCAAAGGTCCTAGTACCAATCTATTAACATTTATTACTATGTACCAGGCACTGTGCTAAACATTGGGGTAGAAAAAGAGGGGAAGACAATCCCTGTCCTCAAAGAGCTCACAATAGAACATATATATCAAGCTATATATGGAATAAATGGGAGATAATTAACAGAGTGAAGGCACTAGAGTTAAGAGGGATTGGGGAAAGGTTTCTATAGAAGGTGGGATTTTAGTTGGGACTTAAAGGAAGGCTGGGAGGTCAATAGTTGCATTCCAGGCATGGCAGACATCCAGAGAAAATGCCCAGAGCTGAGAGATGGCGTATCTTGTTTGTGGAAGAGCCAGGAGGCCAGTGTCACCAGATCGAAGAATATGTGGTGGGAAGTAAAGTGAAAGAAGACTGAAAAGGTAGGAGGAGGCTAGATTATGAAGGGCTTTGAGTGCCAAACAGAGCATTTTGTATTTGATACTGGAGGCTATAGGAAGCCACTGGAGTTTATTGATTAGGGGCCTAAATTTTAGGAAAATCACTTTAGTGGTTGAATGGAAGATGGATTGGAGTGGGGAGAGACTTGAGGAAGATATCTACCAGCAGCCTACTGCAATAATCCAGGCATGAGGTGATGAGGGCCTGCACTAGAGTGGTGGGAGTTTGGGAAGAGAGGAGGGGGTATATTTAAGAGATGTTACAAAAGTGAAATGCCTTGGCTACAGATTGGATATGGGAATGGGGAGAAGAGGGGTAAGAGATAATGAGGAATCCAAGGTGATTCCTTGTCAGCCTGAAGGACTGGAAGGATACTCTCTACAGTAATGGGGAAGGTGAGGAAGGTTTAGGAATGAAATGAGTTCTGTTTTGGATATAGAGAGTTAAGATATCTACTGCCTTAGTCAGCAAAATTCTTCCTTATATAGGGCTGGGTCCCCTTGGTGAAAGACTTCACCTTATTTATGGTGACTAATCAGTTTACTTCCCAAATCGTCATCTCTGTAGGCTAGGCCATAACCAGTCAATGGCCATTTCCCCAGTAATTACCAAACAGCTCTGGGATTCAGGGTTCCCCCATTTTTAAGTCTCTCTAGTTGGTTTATGCAATTGAGTGTGGGTAGAGAAAAAGTACAGGGACAATTCATGCTTTGGAGACAAGTTCAATGTCTCAGCTGTTAGCTCATCTGCTTACCTGGCTTTTCATATGAAAATAAAGTCTCACATTCAGAGTCTCACATTCTTTACTTAGCCTATTCAAAATTGTATACCCTGAGATACAAAATGACTCACTCAAATTTAACAGATCACCTTTTACAAAATACAAATGCAATCTGAGTGGGATTGAATTTACACTTTATAAAAGGTGAACCTAGTTGTATATAGAATGATGAAAATCTACAGTTGCCAGAAAATGCAAGAAAGTCTTTTATAGGAGGGAGGAAGAGAATTTGGAACTTAAATTTTTTTTAAAAGGATGTTAAAAATTTTGAAAAAAGAAAAAGACATCTGAGGATGACATCTAAACTGACAACAGTTTAAGGGCATAAGAATGGACTCTAGAAAGACACCCATCCGTGAAGCCCATCAGAGAGCTGCGTTTAAGAACTTCATGAGGCTACTACCAAGGGAGAAAAGGATTTCTAGTAATCAGGATGGATGAAACCTTTGGCCTCATATCTTCCTTCTATATCCTTCACTATCAGTTGTGCTGTAAGTTTGAGCTCCCTAGCTTACCCTAGGGACTATGTATATGTGTAAGGAGAGAGAGCACTCCCAGTTTGGGAATATTGTTTTTGTAACAACTGACTTTTCTATACCTACTTATTTAATACACTGTCTAAAAGCTAAAATAAAGGAAAGAAAGAAAATCTATTACTTGACCAAAGAAGAGATTGTCTTATGGTGACTGGAGACTCTTTATGGAAAGATATGTAGTCACTCATAAGTCACTTCGGTTTTTTTTGTTTGTCTGTTTGTTTTTTTAGTGTAGGCAATGGGGTTAAGTGACTTGCCCAAGGTCACACAGCTAGTAAGTGTTATGTGTCTGAGGCTGGATTTGAACTCAGATCCTCCTGTCTCCAGGGCCGATACTCTATCCACTGCTCCACCTAGCTGCCCTTTCATAAGTCACTTTGATACTATCAACTGAGGCTTATGTTGTACTGTGGGATATATAGAAATAGCTGTGTGACAGAGTGGATAGAATGTGGACCTTGGGGTAAGGAAGACTAGAGTTCAAACCTCTTCAATTCTTAGCCAAACTTGTTGTCTCTTTGCAGGGTCTGTGCATGATAGATATGCCAAAGAATAAACTCAGTGATCCACAAGTGCAACTCCATGTCATAATCTGAGCAATATAAACCTTTCATCCATTTTGTGTTTCCACTATGGGTAGCTAGAATGATCTCTTTAAAATGTCCATGGATCTCATTTAAGATGCACACACATATGTCCATGCACATATAATATATCATAGAAATGCTTGTTTTATTCCACAAATTGAAAATAAATTTTAAAAATTTAAAAAAAAGATACATGGTGCTTTCAGACTTGATGTAATCAATACTATCCATAAACAGTAAGTAGAGAGAATTCAAAAAAAAGAAACCCGTTCAAGTGTACACAAGATTTAGCAGTTATAATCAGATGAAAAAATACTCTAAGTCACAATTGATTAGAGAAATGCAAACAACCTCACACCTATCAGATTGGCTAATGTGACAGAAAAGGAAAATGACATGTTGGGGGTAACATGGAAGAATAGGGACACTGATGCATTGTTGGTGGAGTTGTGAACTGATCCAACCATTCTGGAGAACAATTTGGAAGTATGCCCAAAGGGCTATAGAACTGTACATACCCTTTAACCCAGCAACACTACTACTAAGTCTTATATCCCAAAGTAATCAAAGGAAAAGGAAAAGGACCTATATGTACAAAAATATTTATAGCAGCTCTTTTAGTGGTGGCAAAGAATTGGAAATTGAGAGGATGCCTATCAGTTGGGGAATGGCTGAACACATTGTGGTATATGATTATGATGGAATATTATTGTGCTATAAGAAATGATAAGCAGGAAAAACCTGGGACAACTCACATGTACTGATGCAAAGTGGATAATGTACACAGTAACAGCAATATTGTATGATGATCAACTGTGAATGACTTAGCTATTCTTGGCAATTCAATGATCTAAAACAATTCCAAAGGACTTATGATGAAAAATGCTATTTACCTCCAGAGAAAGAACTGATGCAGATTGAATACAGATTGAAGCACACTTTTTTTCTTTATTATTCTTGGTTTTTTGGTCAGTGTTTTCTTTTGCAATGTGACTAATATGGAAATGTTTTGTATGACCATACATGTATAAATGATATGAAATTGCCTGCCTTCTCAAGGAATGGGGAGGGG